TCGTTATGTGGTAAGCACCCACCACTGCAGACAGCTATGGGCCCTTTTCCAGCTGCTCTCCCTAATGTTGCAGAAACCTCCCTTTTCAGTTCATTAAATTTAACTTCAGGCAATTGCTAAAATGCAAGATAATTCTATTTTAGTTATTTTTTTCCTTGGTACTTCCAAAGTTCAGCCTCACATTAGCAACAATGAGCCAGAAGGTTTTTTTTTTTTGTTTTTTTTTTAAGTTATTTCAGAAGATAGGGACTTAAGCAGAAAAAAGATCCATCCCAAACGACAAATATTTAGCATTATTTTCCCTGTTATTTAAACCGGAGGGCCCTTGATTATGACTGCTTCTTAAGCTGGCTTCACAAATGTAGGCTTAGGAGGAAATGTATTTGAGTTTCATACTGCACCAAAATTCTTGACTCTTGATATCCAACCAATTGTTTGTAAAATTTAACATAAACAAAACAGGGCTTGTCCATTTATAAAGCATAATTAAGAAATATTTTGTGAATATGTGTATTGTGATTTCTCATTAATTTTTGCCTATATGCAGTTCTAAAAAATTAAAGACAGAATGAGAGGACCTGCAGACAAAACTTTGCATAGAATTGAGTGTTATTTATACATTGTAATTTATTTATTTAAACTTTCCATTAGTTATATCCATTTATGGTGCTTCCATATGTTTGTAACTACGAATGTGATACATATCCCTATATCATTGTGTACATGTTTTATATCAATGATCTGTCATTTGTCTATATCTATCTATCAATCTTTCTATTATCTATCATAGACTTTAGGATCAGTTCCTAGAAGTGGCATTACTAGTCAAAGCATATGTTTATTTTAAATTAAAAAGCAATGCCTGCATGTCTTTCATTGAATTTCCCCTTATTTTCCTATTAGAATAACTTCTTTTCTTCTTTTTCTCTAGGCCTTATACTTGAAAAGACTGTATATTGTCAAATTTTGTTTTCCCATCTATTGGGTCATTGCTTTAAATCGCTTCCCACAGCTCCCCTAGCCCCCCAACTATGGTTGTTCATGAGAATCTTTTCCATAAGTTAAAAGCCATTTATATTTCCTCCTCTATTGTTTGGGCCTTGTTTTTATATACTACCAGGAAGCAAGACAGAACTTTTAATGAAGGTTTTTGACTGCTTTTATTTTACTCTTAAAAAAGCAAACTGTAAAATGTGCAGGGTCTGATAACTGTCAGTGGCAGGTACTGCTCTCCACACTACCTGCCCATGGACTGTGGCTGTAGATGGTGTGTAGTCTCCCCCATGAAGCACGGTATCGCTACATCTGCTTTGATTACAAAGCCATAATTCCATTGGAGTAGTTTTGTCTGGTGATCATTGATTTTTGAAAGCCAATCTGATGCCTGTTCTGAAAGGGACTGTAAGAAAGGCCTCTTTAGTTTTCCCCGCTGAACAAATATTGCCAAATTCTTTTTGCAACATGCATTATACCATGATTGCCACCAGGCATAGCCTGTCTAATATTTTTTTTTTACTTTATTAAGGAGACATCTCTGTTTGATTTTCCTGTGCATTTTTACATATGGACATTAGAATGAACATGAGCATATAAAATTGATGTTCATGTCATTTTAAAAATCTTGTATACACATATCAGTTCAAAATACTGTTCACTATCACTTGCCACAGCCAGGACACTTTCTTCTTTCTTTACTTTTTAAATCACTTTTCCCATAAATAGCAGGGAAGTGCCATCGGGAGAAAAAGATAGTAAAAAGTGTTAAACATTAAAAAAACAAATCCCCCAGCAGATGAACACTATAAACGAGTGAGACTTACACAAAGATACATTATGTAGGGTCTGGTCATACATCAGCGGTCACGGCAGCAGCTGGAGGGTCTCCGGGGATGCGGGCTGGCAGGGTTTTCCCTGTGATCACAGTTCATGGGAGACCAGACCGGGACCCTTCCCTGAAGATGTCCGCTTTCTCACCTCCCTATTACTTCCTGCCTGACCCTGACTTTCAAATTCTTTTTACTTTTGCAGGAAACCAAGACATTGTATTCTACAGGGGGTGGCTCTTAAAGGGTCTAAGGATGTATTTCCATGGTTATGGAATGTCCCCTCTATTGTTCCAGAGTGAGTTCTGGGGGGTTGGGAAGCACTTTGAATTGTGACTTATTCTGTGCTTTTTGTTTATTTCTGCTTTAAAGCCAATCATTTGACTATTTTTGATACCATGAAATACAATAATATAGTCTATACTGAATAGGATAGGCGGCTGCTTTTGCATCCTGGAATAAGAGCTTTTCAGACACTTGCAATTGCCCTTTTCTTAATAGACTTTCCTTCCTCATTTTCCAGTATCCCCAGCTACCTCACATCCCCCCATGCAATGAATTTAAGGCTGAGAAAAAGTGCTGATAGAATTTTCTCTTATATCGACTCCATTCTCAGTATTGTTTCCCAAACCTCTCAGTCCACATATTCCTGGCATCCTCCGCTCTCTCTCCTCTAGGATTATGGGATCAGGCACTAGTGTTTTTATTTCTTAAACTTTTTTTTCTTGCTCTGCTACTATTCTGTCTGTATCTCAACACTGTGCCTTCTGAGGAGTTCTGCTTCCCAAACCCCCAGAACTCACTCTGGAACAATAGAGGGGGACATCCCATCACCATGGAAATATCCATAGACCCTTTAAAAGCCACCCCCTGTAGAATACAATGTCTTGGTTTCCTGCAAAAGTAAAAAGAATTTGAAAGTCAGGGTGAGCATGGTCAGAGTATAGCAGAGAGCTGGGGCAGTTGGGGGTGGTGATGAGGCAGCAGGAGCCATTGTAAGCCATTGTAAGATATTTCACTTGCCAACATACTGCTGGCAAGTGAAATAAATATAAAATGTATTAATGGTGGAGTAGTGACAACTTGAGGCTTTGGATGAGTTAGTTGGTCTCCTAATCCAAGTGGCTTCTTTGTAACTGATCTGCTACTTAATTTTAACCACTTTGTCCGTAAACCTCACTATTCACTAATTTTTTTTGTTCATTTATTCATCTAATAACTCATTATTTGTACTATGTATTGGGCTTTGTTCTAGGCAAGGAACAAAACAGACAAAGACTTGTCCTCTCCCACATGTGAGAGAGAATAAAAAACAACCACAAATCAAATAATAATAATAATAATAATAATAATAATAATAAACAATATCAGCTGCCATAAAATAAAATAAAAATAAACTAAAGAAGGGCTGAGGAGTGATCAAAGAGGGCTTCATAGAGGAGGTGGCATTTGAGCAGCGGCCTGTGTGAAGTGAGGGAGCAGCCAGACCTATATTGAAGGGAACAGTGCTCCAGGGGCAGATAACAGTTCCCGTAGAGCTCTGAGGAAAGTGTGTGGTTCCAATATAGAAGACTGGGATCCAGCTTTAGCTTTCACATGTGACACTGCCCTGGGGGTGGGTGTGAGAGATGGGTGAGCATGGTCAGAGTATAGCAGAGAGCTGGGGCAGTTGGGGGTGGTGATGAGGTGGCAGGAGCCATTGTAAGACATCTCCGCCTGGCATAAAAAAAAATAATAACAAAGGAAATGAAAATGATGAGAGATTAATGTTCTATTTTTGCCAGAATTGGGACTTTTTCCTGAGTTAAATTGTAACTGAAAACAATGGCATTTGGCTTAGATCCTGCAGGGGTGGGCTGGAGGGAGGGCTGGGAGATGGAACAAAGGACAGTTTACTGTGTTTGAAAACAGTAATAGGAATAAAATGAAGCTGTTTTCTAATTACATCTACTAAATTTAGCCAATTTCTCTCTCTCACCCTCTCCCCCCTCTCCCGTCCCCAATGTATTTACAAGATTATATGGACTGGGAGAAATACATAGCTGGGCAAATATCAGCTTGTTAAATTGAGCTACCTCTGTTGGGGAGGGGGAGATGGAAAGGGGGAAGGAAAGTCATCTGAAACAAAAAAGGAAAAGGAAAAAGGAGGCAATATCAGAAAGCAGGACTGCATTTAAGTATATTACTAGTAGCCGAAACCGGTTTGGCTCAGTGGATAGAGCGTCAGCCTGCAGACCGAAGGGTCCCGGGTTCGATTCTGGTCAATGTACCTTGGTTGTGGGCATATCCCCAGTAGGGGTGTGCAAGAGGCAGCTGATTGATGACTCTCTCTCATCGATGTTTCTAACACTCTATCTCTCTCTCTTCCTCTCTGTAAAAATCAATAAAATATATTTTTAAAAAAGTATATTACAAGTATCTCCAGTCTTTAAAGAGCAATTGATACATGAGAACTGTGAGTTGAAGTGTCTCCTGGCTTTTCTTGTGGCATGTGTTCAGAGTTTAAAGGGAAGGAATCACTAGGGACTCAGAGGCATAGAATGTAGCCCAGTCATGTTCATATCTGTGTCTGCAGGACATAAATTGAAGTTGCAAAATAAAAGTGAAGTTAGGAATTTGACTATGAATGTCCAGCTATCTATATATAAAAAAAAAAAATACCTAGGTGATATAAAGAACTTTTTGTTAATCCAGAATCCGTTGTAATGAACAATCCAGAAAATGTGCTGAGTGGTTCCCATAGTACTGTAAATGTTTGAAGGGTACCCTGCTTAGTTATAATTTAGCAAACAACTATTTCAGACACCGTTTTAACGGCAAGCAATCCTGGCAGTAATTTATCTAAATCATGCATCCCTTCCTGAACTGTAACTCTTGCTTAATTTGGGGAATTAAAGGAACCTACTTGTTAATGTAGGAGCTTCTGCCTTGTTTTTCAAGTTTGGAAACAAGAAGTCCTTTGTCTGTGACGATTAATCTGGTGGCCTCAGCAGGCTTTTAAAGTAAAGGTTTGTGTCTTTTGAACTTTCTAAGTTGGATTTGTTAACAAAGATTCAGGAGCAGGCACTACTTACTAAAGTAGCAACAGGATTTGGACATTCACTAAAAAAAACCCACATTTTTTTAGCCCCCCATTGGAGGAGCAAATGGTGCAAATGAAAACAGACTCACAATGAATAGAATGAAAATGATTTCCGTGTTTATGTTTGTCAGCATCATAGTTATTTACAAATTATCCATATGAAAATGTAAAAAAGCATATTACATCTTCACATGCCATCTGCATTAACTGAATAAAGCTTAGTGGCTTATTTGCAAATCTGTAGTTAATTGGTACATAGACATTTTTGTGCATTAAAAAAGAAATGTACATAATTTAAAATAAATTACACAATTTACAAAATAATATTAACAAAAACATCTTAGACAGCTGCCTCCTTATTTAAACAAAATAAATATTCATGTAATTAAATTAACCAAAGACCACATTTAGGGGATTATAATATATAGAAAGACATATTGCAAATTTAATAAAGTTATATTTTACAGTGACAGATACTGATCTCTTCAAGTCTCTGTGCTAGAATTATGCAGGAAAAAAGTACCAGAAAGGGAATCTTAATATTTTCTGTTAATAAATCAATACAAATAGGTTCCTGCAAAACGTTGAGAAAAGTTCATTGAAGGGTCGAAGTAGGTGATATAGAAACTATTGCTTTGAAAAAAGAAAAAAAGAAAAAGAAAACATCTACAAAGCACAACAAGACTGACACCCAATTATATATCTAAATAGGCTTTTGATTGCTGAAAACATGATGCCCACAAATCATATACTGGCCATTTTTTAAGGTCTAGCTTGGTAGAAGCATGAAACATAAAACTACAAAACTAACTATCCCTTTAGGACTTAATTTACTTATTTAAGAATGTAGACATACCCATTTTTCAGTGTCCCTGCTAGATACAGAATTACCACAGCACACGTCCTTTTGATAAAGATTTATTAATGAGTGCTAGGCCCACACTCCTGGCTCAGCCCTGACGGCCTGCCTTATTTCCCCAGAGCTGAGGCAGGCCGGGTGGGGCTGCCAGCCATCTTAGCCCTCACATCTAAACTCCACCCGGGAGGGGCCACTCTGTTGCAAGATTCCTCATTTGTTCCCAGACTGCTCTCCTTCCCATACCCTCAGCCTTAGGGGGGAAACAGAACAAAGAACACATTTGAGTTTGGCAATATTGTTACATCTGGTGAGATGTCAGATCATTTTGGAATGATTCCTGCAAACTGATTCAGACGCCAGATCAGCTTAAGCATGGGCTCCCCCATTCTTGTGTGTAGAGAGGTACTGGGTTGCACTAAATTGAGTGTAGGAACTGACATTTTTACAGAAGAGTTTTATTTTTCTCTCTCCCTCCCACCCCTTCCCTCTCTTTTCTTTTTTTCTTTTTCTTTTTTCTTTTTTCTTTTTCTTTCTTTTTTCTTTTTCATCTGCATCTTTCCTCTTTACACAGGTCTTTGACCATTATATTCTATGAAACTCAACATGTTCACATTCTAAGTGACACTGACTCCAATGGGAAGGAAATATAGGAGTTAGGCTCTTATTTCTTCTTATTAAAATGTGGGCATGTTGAGTAGAAGTTGTATGAGTAGACAAGATGAGCTGCAGATAAGAGAGCAGAGCAGAAAGAGACCAGGAACATAAGGAACTTGTTCCTGCAAGAAGTTGTAAATAAGGGACTTTACAGGAATTCCAAGGTGTCCAAGTAAGCCCTAATGACCAGCTACCTGCTCGCGGGTGGAGGAGAGGCACACTAAAGGCCGAACAGCAAGGCCTGAGACATGGACCTTACAGAAGGAAAGACACTGACCACATTGAAAAATAGATCTAAAGGGCCATGTAAGTGCTGTTGTGTTCTGTTAAGCACTCTTTCCTTCTTTTGAATATCTTAGGTACATATGTATACAAAAGCCTCACTAATCTTTTACAGTGACTAACAGAGTGTCTTACCTGTGATAATTTAATAAATGTTTGCCTTGTTATAAGCAATTTGTGCTTTGTTGTAAGTAATTAAGAACATGCTTTTAAGTACTCCTTTTCAAGTTGGCTTAATGCTACACTGCAGGGTCCTCAAAAGGCTTTGAAATAAGGATTATGGCCAAGACCCTAGATAAGGTATTGACGAATGAGCAAATCAACCCCTTTCAAGAGACATCAGTTCCGTGTGGTTCACATAGTTGACAGTCCAACAAAATAGTATAATACTGTGCTAGCATTCTCTCTCCTTCCTCTCCTCCCTCCCTCTCTCTCTCTCTCTCTCTCTCTCTCTCTCTCTCTCTCTCTCTCCTCTCTTTTTGTTAAACCAAGCAGACCTTCATACTTATATAATAGTAGTTCTAAATCTTTTTGTGGTCAGACCATTTTGGTAAGGCAAAGTGTCAATAGACAAGTTATTACTATATTCCCCTCCTGAATTCTTAAAAAATGAACAGGAGGGATAAGGATCTGATGAGATTTTAGTAAAGTATTTAATTCATTATTGACTCATGCCAGGAACAAAAATAATGCCATTCTCATGCCATAAACATGAATACAGTAACTTTCATTCCCCCAAGTTAGCCAGCTAGGTACATTCCCCTCCTTTTAACCTTTCTAACAAAGGGCCATCCAGTATTTATTTATCTAATAATGAACTTCCAATATGCTCCCTAGTGCTAGATCACATTAAAACTAGTCTCCTGTACATAACATTGTATTGTAATGTGTATTCCATTTTTGAATGAAATCATCTTGTATTTTCATAACATTTTATAATTTTTTAAAAAGGTTTTTTGATTTTTATAGAGAGAGGAAAAGATAGGGAGAGAGAGAGAGAAAAACATTGAGAGCGAAACATCAATCAGCTGCCTTTTGCGCGACCCTCACTGGGGATCTAGCCTGCAAACTCAGGCATATGCATGCCCTAACTGGGAATCAAACCAGCAGCCTTTCAGTGCACGGGATGGCACCCAACCAACTGGACCGCACTGGCCAGGGCCAGCCATTTTATCATTTTGATCAATTAAGTTAATTCTTATAATAAAGGTAGGATGATGCTGATCTCTCTTCTGAATTAATGAAATTTCATAGAATTGTAAGTACAGCTTTAGTAGCAATAATATTTCATTTTATTCAACAATTTCAAAGTTATTAGGTGTTGTACTCATATCCTAAGGCTGTTAGCTGAATTCTTCAAGTAACTGCAATAGATTCTCAACTATTTTAGATAAATGGAATTCATTTTAGTCAGAGAAATCCATGATCTGGAAGACTCCCGAGTGCATATATTGCCAACCACAGTTTGAGAGTAACAATATTATTTATGGCTTCTTCTTCAATAAGCCAGATGAAATGGAACTGGTTGTTATGCTTTTCCTTATTTAATTTTCCTTGGTTACTTAATCTTCCTGACTACTTGTTTGTTTTGAAGTTAATTACCTTGCCTACTACAATGAATATTAAATAACGAATTAGTGTTTACCACATTTAATTCTTATTGAAATATATAGAAATCTGTTCGTTTGGGGGACAATGATATTCTAATCTGATGTCTTCTATCAATATAATTCTGCAAATACGTTAATGAACAGCAGGGGGAGTTAAAACTCTAGTATGAAGGTAAATACCTTCTAGTTGAAACCACTTTCACAGCCACACAGCTAAGTTTAGGACAAAAACAGCCATTACACTATTTTCAAAAGACCTGACACCCTAATATCCTCCCCCTTCCCAAAGTCTGTTGCAGTAAAATGGTATTGCTTTTTTAAGTGGCACCTTTTAAGTTTTCTTTTCATATGAAAGAAGTCTGCCAAGTTAGATATTATTTCACTGTGAATTTTCCAGGCCAATAGCTGTAAAAAATAGTTACTTCTAACACAGTGATAAGTGTAGTGACTGTTTTCACCTTTGAAACTAAACTCTGATTTCAGTCTGAGGGTAAATGAGTAAAACCCAGAAATGACACCGTGGAGAGTTAGCTTTGAAAAAACTTCTAGATTAGTGGTCAGCAAACCACGACCTGCAAATGTGGCCTTCTGGCTGTTGTTTTTAAAGAGACTGCACTGAAAGACATCATGCTGTTCTTTTATGTACTGTGCACTCTCTATGGCTGTGTTCTCCTAATGGCAGAATTGAGAAGCTGTAGCAGAGACCTGGCTGAGAATATCTACCACTGTGGCTCTTTACCGAATAAGTTTTTCCACCCTTGGTCTAGATATTTAATGAAGCCCTGGACAAAATACTGACCATTTTCTTTCCTAAAATTTTAGTTTTTGAAATCATAAATTAAAAAGACCACTTCAGGTTTTACTAGTAGGAATGACAAAACAATGGATTTCAAAACACATTTGGTCTGAAATTAGGAAAACAAATTGGGAGAGGAAAAAAAAATCAACACACAATCTTGATTTCTTTTAGGTACAAAAGTCAGCAATACATTACGTTCTCCATCTGCTCAAAATTAAAAAGACAACCAGCTCCTTTTTTTCTTTTCTTTTCTTTTCTTTTTTTTTTTTAACAAAGATAAGAAATATAAAAATCTAGTCATAAACAGCCTTCAAGGTACAATTAAAAACCAACTAGTGGGGTCCATCTTTTGGAGGATGAATGAGTTCGGGACTTAAAACACTTAAATTACCACCATGTTGTCAATTTCCCAGTGGCTGCAGCGGTGAGGAGGACTGTACACAGCAGGTGTTCCATCCTGTCGTCATCCAAAATGAACTTGACTCTCTTCAGGATACAGGAAGTTGTCAATGTCTCCATGGCACTCAGCATCGTTGTCTCCATCCCGTATGAAAAGAGGCAGTTTCTATGGCAATACTGGTTAAGTGCCTATCATGCTGCACTAATATAGTGCAAAAATGTGCCTTCCATTCAGCAAAAAAAGATGCAGGCAACCAGTCTGAATGTGGGGAAAGTAGAAACTTACTGTATTAACACAAGCAAATGAGTTTTCCAGACAATAACCACTAGAAAATACTGAACGTGAGGGTTCTTCTAAGATACTAGGACAGGTCCAGCACTTGTACTTTGGAGAAAGACAAGGATTAAGTCTTATAAAAAGTCTTTGCCTCTGAAAAGCTACCATCAAACCACCAAATGATGAATTTGCTCAATGAGTTTTCTGCTCAAAGTAGAGCATTAAAATGGCTTATTACCAGGTATATAATCTGACATAATAGTATGTATCATTCAGTTGCGTGTACATGACGTTACGCTTGCCTATGATCTTGGTATAAGCTCTTCATGCTAAAATGTCACTATGGGTGAGCACTGCAGACAGAGGCGTGTGTCGGCATTCCACATGGCCACTCCTGCCACCATATTTCAGAGATGAAAGTACTTTGCCAGTTGGTAGGTTTCATGAACGATCACTCAGACTCTCAGAAGGCAGCATGTATTCAACTCCACCTCCTAGAGCAGTGGTCGGCAAACTCATTAGTCAGCAGAGCCAAATATCAACAGTACAACGATTAAAATTTCTTTTGAGAGCCAAATTTTTTTTTAACTTAAACTTCTCCTAACACCACTTCTTCAAAATGGACTCGCCCGGGCGGTGGTATTTTGTGGGAGAGCCACCCTCAAGGGGCCAAAGAGCCGCACGTGGATCTCGAGCTGCAGTTTGCCGACCACAGAACTAGACCTCTCAGGAATGAAGGTTTCTGTGTAAGTGGTACCGTATCGATATCTCCGATGGCACTGTGATCTTCTCTCTTATCAATGATGCTCTTTTGAAAAGGTACGACGGGCTTTAACCCACGCAGCTGGAATAGCTCTGCGGCCTCTCCTGCAAAGTCAGAAAGCTGAAGCTGGTTGCTGCCGGGATAGCTCAGACCTTACATGTCTGCATCGCCATCATAGGCTAAGGTCAAAGGTTTCAGTCGGTTGTTTTGCCTTCTTTGGGGCTTCTTTGGCTTTTTGCTGTTAAAAAAAAATCATGAAAATTGGGAGGAAAAAAAAATCAATCTTCCATTGTACATGTTGCCATTTTAAATGAAAAAAGTTTGAAACTTATGGATAAACCTAAACTACTTACTTGCCTAAATTCAAACTTAACATTCAATTTTCTGCTATCTTTTGAATAAACGTGAAACAGAACCCTTCAAATATGTGAGTATACTGTAAGGGATTAATTATCCAAATAGAATTCCTCTAGTACTAACAACAGATATCACAGGGTAATCATTTATATTTGACCAGAATCCTTTATAAATAATACATAATTTATAAATAATGCAAGGCAGCTAAATAAGATCAGGTACTACCATAATGTCTTCCTCTGATATTAATTCAATATAAACATCAGCGTCTTCTCTTGCATAACCAAAAAGAATGTACTTAAAAAGATGGCCTGAGGCAGCTCTGGCTCATTTTCAGAAACTAAATGACTCATCGATTTAGTAGTTTTTAGACTACCCAAGACTAAAGTTATGTTTATGTAGAACTTCAGATGAATACTAACTAAATGTAGAATACTTTTTTGAGACATTAGTTTGCCATTCCTGTGTTATAGTTAATTGAACGTGTTTCCCCTAAAAGAGAAATATTTTTTCCTCTTAGATGTTGAAATATTTAAACACTCACCAAGCTAGATAAATCATGGAGACAATAAAGATGAGTAACACAAATGCCCCAGCCGCTACACCGTAAACCCAGGTCTTTAGTCTCCCATCTAAGAAGAATGGATATTAATCATTAATTCACATTAGTCTGGCATGTAAATGACAGTCTTTAACGATGACCAATGGGCCAGTTCACATACGACCAAGTCCTTTCAAAACTCAAAGTGAATTATTGCTTAGGCACAATTAATGATTAATGCAACGCTGCTACTATGACTTAGATGCTCCTTCATTAAAGATAGAATATCAATGAAAATTGAATTAAAAAGCAATAAGTAATATTTTCAATTTGAGTGCAAGCTTTCAAGTTATTATATCTAAATTTCTGCTGCTTCTTATCTGAATTTTACTTCAAATACAATTTGTGCATAATGCTGCCTTTTCTTTTGAGTTTCATTTTATTTTGAGATTGTGCTCACGAGAAAAGAAAAGAAAAAAAACTGTAATGCAATTTCAAAGAAGTCCCACGACTAAGAGTTGATGCAGACAGGTATTTGCACATCAACTTGGTCATTTTTACATTTTTTTCCAGATAAACTGAAAATGAATGTATTTAACAATTTGGAGAAGTAATAGTCTCCTATCTCGTTTATGCTTACAGTCCTTTAGAGCTGATTTGAAATATCATTTGCAAAAATAACCAAGTTTGATTAACATATAAAATGATCTCTAAATAACTTCCACCTTTTCTATTATAGACATTCCCTTCTTTTCCTAAGTTCATGGTACACTTGCTTTTCTAGAATGATCTTTGATTATAACCTGTATTTGATAGCTGAAAGAAATCCGATGACTTCCTGTTTTATGAAAAAAGGAGGAAGGCAACAGCAGTGCAGTGAGTGTTCCAGAGGCAGCTTGCCCCCCAGGGAGCCAAAGGCCAGCCAAGCTCCTTCCCAGGGAACCACACCCAGCATCTCAGCACCAAGCTGCCCAGGCTCTGAACTGTGTGAGCATCTGTGCTTTATCTCGATTTACTTTGTGCATCTGTTAGCAAGATGTGTCCTAAAGCTGAGAGAGCTCCAACAGGTATTACCTTTAGTGTAAGACTGGACATAATTAACATATTTGGTATAAATTCATATGTGGTTTTCTGGGTCCGAGGCGGCTCACACTTTTTTCCCATGTACAATAATTTAGTGGTAACTGCCTCTTTATGCCATTTGGGGTTTAAGAACAGTTTCATAGGATCCCTCTCCTTCCGGATAGCAGGGGAATCTGCATACAAAACCAGAGAGGGCAGGCCTCCTCATTTGGTTTCCTGATCTCATTCTATTTGAACTTCTCAGTTTTATGTTCTGAACAAACTTCAAGCATAAGACACTGTTCATGACTTTGCCAGCTTAATTTGGTCCTCACATCAACATATATATTCTGTTGCATACATGCAATTAAACATATGCTAGTGTCATGCTATAGATTGGGGAAAGGAATGCTGGTTTAGTCCACATTTGAAAGCCACTGAAAGCAAATCAATACTGTGACACTTTTTTAAAACTTCATTTGCTGGAAATAAGTTAATTTTTAAAATATCATTTCCTGTCAATTCTAAAGATTTAAAAAACTTAAGCCAGGATGTGAAATATAAAGAGCTGTGCCACTGCTGGGTTCATCTGCCCCGACTGTTTTTTAATTAATATCATTTGGGTTTTTCAAAAATCAAGAACAGAGTCTAAACCACATGTGTCAAACACAAGGCCCGCGGGCCAAATCCGTCCCGCCAGGCCTTGCAATGTGGCCCGCACCGCGCTGTGATCACTGCACTCCGCTGCGTTTCCATCACAATGACAGTTTATGACTGTTCAGTAAACCATTCGGCCCGCGATTTAGGCTGGATTTTAGATTTTGGCCCCTTCTCTGATTGAGTTCGACACCCCTAGCTCTAAACATACGTTTGTAGTATAGTAAAATGTTTACTTTAGGGAAACTATATATATTAAACCAAGTGTGACAACACTACTATCCTCTCTTTTTAAAACCCAGTTTGGATGTGAGGAGACCCACTTGCACTCTGAATCAAGGTCAAGGTGGCTAATGGCCACTTGCTGGCCCACCATGTTGAACCCTGAGAGTTTCCATGTTTACACAGACAAACTGGGTTTGCAAAATGAAGTATTTTTTTTTTTTCAACTAAAAACCTACTAAAGTAGGAAGACTGTAGTTGAGTGTAAAATACTTAAAAAACAAACAAACAAAAAAAAAACCCAATAGTGATTCTCCAGGCAGGGTAAGTGTTTTGACTTAATGCTATTAAAAAGAAGGATGTGTTAGTTATTCAAATTTCTTTCTCCTTTCTCATGTTTCTGACAGAGTTATAAAGTAGTCGATGCCCTGCTTTGCCTGGAGATTTCCTTTGGTCATGAGCTAGTGAGGCCTCTTGGTGTGAGAAAAAGTGGCACGGTATGGTTGAACCCACTGGCGAGAGAAAGTGTACACAGTGAGAAGGGCATTTCATTGGGCCTTCAAGCCTTTGCCTGCAGAAGCTTCAAGTCCACTACTAGACCCATTAAGAGCAGCCTAATATGACAAGGGTCTGGTCAGTCTCCAAGACGGTCCATCTAGACAGGAAGGCTCCATCCTTGCCCTCACATGTTTGGTGCGAGTATAGATTCTGAGCTTCTGTGCTAACACTGAGGCCTCACAGAAATCAGTCTGACCACCTAGTGTCCCCCCACCCCTTGGCACGAAACCACATGCCTCATGTTCCTATTTTGAGTTCAAATTATTACTGCTCTGTGCTCAAATGAAAAGTTCTTGAATGTCTTTATAGTTTTATTTGTAATGAATGATAACAGCCTCCCCCCACCCCCCAATCAGTATTTTCCTTGTTAGATTTCTTTGTTCATGTGAAAATAATTACACTTGTAAATTTAGGACTGAGATTGAATAACTAATCTCAATCCTAAATTTTTGTTGTCGTCTTTTTTCTCTCGGAAGAAAGGTATTTCATTTCTCTCAACTTGGAGCATGAGTGCTTTTTTCATAATGATGATAAAGATATTGTAAGATTCTATGGAACAATAGAACAAAATGAAATAATAAGTAGCTCCTATGAAAATGCTGATTTTGTCATCATTTGGTGTTGGGTAAGTGTATCATTAAAGAATTCTACATCAAGATCTTCTAGTCACTTTACCTGGCCCCAGTGGCTGTAGAAACCAGGTCCTGCCCCGTCCTTCGGGGTTCCGGGAGGGCTGGGTCGGGTGCACTGCCCGGCTGGTTTTCACGTCTGCTCTCTTGTCCTCCACGGTGGGGATCGCCACCACGGGGATCAGAGTGCACTGCTCCAGCGTCCCATTGGAAGATAGGACTTCCGTGTACCCCTCTTCACAACTGCACGCCCTCGTCTGCGGGAGAGCAAGAAGAGATCTACTTTGCACACGGGTGAGTTTGGGAAGCCTAACGGACCTGACTTGAAGGGAAGGCTTGAATGAAATACTGTTTTGGGAATTTGCTACATGGAATTTCTGTCTCACTACATTAAAAGAAAGAACACACTTTTTGTACCGCACACAAGCTTATTCTAACAATAGAAGCACGGGCATCCTGAATTGTTTATGTTAATAAAAGAGGTACCAAACTAGAATTTTTATGCCTCAAGACATGCCTTTTGTAAAGGGAAATGACTGCACAAGAGGCGGTGGGGTGACGATGAGGAGGCGGCTTGTCTGCCCTAATGGATTCACACATACCTCGCTACAGTACGAGTGGGGTTGGCTACACGGCGGGTGACAAGACCTGTCGGCATCAGGCTGGTGAACCACCAAACAGCCCCCTGTGGAACAGAAAACCACATTGTGACAAGTCATGTCTCTTGCAATGATAAGAATACACTGTTGTTACGGGCTTGTCTTTGAACCCTAAAACCATGCCGGGACTCCCACAGATTTTCCTGAGAAATATTTAGTTAACCTTGACCATTGTATTTAGGAACTCGAGGTGCCTTTACTCAGAGACGGCGAAGAGCAGGTGTTGAACAGATGATTATATAGCTGCTACCCTGAAAACTCTGACTGAACACAGGCTATTTCCAAGGCCAAGTCCCGCACTCTAAAGCAGATTTAATTTTCTCTTAAAGGTAAAATCCTTTCTTGGTTAATTCAAGGAAATAGTTTTCATATCTCTTTAATTTATGGTCTACCACATGAATGCATTCTTTATAATGTGCATCTCTTTTTCAGAAAAATCATTTTAAGAATTTTGGGGGGACAGGAAAGAAAACAAATATAGCTACTAAGTGTGTGCTGGCACTGCTGTTTCAACTTGACATTGCAGCTCTCTACTGATGCCTCTTCTGTTTCCTCCTCTTCCAGCATAATAGCAAGTGTGCCTACGTGGTTATATCAAGATAGGGATAGATGTCATAAAGTGACATGGAAGGAACTCGGAGTTTCAAATCATTCTTGTTCAGTGTAACAGAATTTTAGCAAAGCAAAGTTTTCCCTTTATGTAAGGAATCAATGATCCTGTGGAATTTCTCAGAGTGACTATTGCTAATTCTCAATATTATAAGTTAAATATTCATAGAAAAAATGTTATGAAAGCAGTTAGTCATTGCAAGGCAGTTGCAGTTAAATGGCCACATGGAAGTCACATTATTAAACACATAAGAAAAAAAAAAAAAGGAAAACAACAGCCTGAGTTTCTTATAAGGGTAACTATTCTTAACATTAAAACGGTCCATTGAGGTAGGTAAAATACTTTACAGAATTGTCTACTTCTCATAGAGAATTGTATCTCTCCTAAAACATGGAAAAGGAATGCATATAAAGTTGATCACAAATCATTTATACGTTGGCTTTTTGGTATCAAACAGTAGTATGAAATAAAAATCTTGTATATTATACTGCTTTAAAAAGAAATTGAATATATGATTTCTACAGGTATGTCCTCTAAAAATTGACTTACCTTGGCATTGGGGAATAGCCCCAATTTCAGGGGGACAAGAGATTTTTAACATGCAGAAGGAAAGGCAGACAAGTATTATTTGCATCCTTACTTGGGAAACAAAACACATTGAAAACTAATAGGACCCTCTGGGGAAGCTTAAAATTATCTCTGAAAAACTTAAAGAAGAATGCAGACATTCATTTCCAACTACTGAGCTGAGTGGGCCATGCTTCCGGTTCAGAAAGACCCACTTACCCTTCTCTCAGAGTGGTGAGGTTGGGACAGATTGTTCTCCCAGAAAATAACACTCAGAGAGCAAAGGGTTTCCTGGAAGGTCTCTTTTCTTGGTCATGCATGTGTCCCCTGGCAGTTGTTACTATCAAGGGTTTCCTGACACAGATTTCTCATACATAAAATCTTATCGCCACAAGAATACTGTTTGACATCCTGCTCCCACTTTCATAGGGAGGAAATGAGTAGTTGGGTTTCAATAAATCCAGGTAATTTAAAATTCAATATAAAAACTAATGCTTTCCAGAGAGCACATGGATCCCTGCGCCTGTTATCTTACTGGACATATTACAGCTAAATTTATAAATGGATAGACTCAGAGGCACCCAAATGCACATTACCTTTCTCCCTGCCAGAGGGTCAGAACAATGGCGGTAAGTCAGCAGGTCACCCTGAACAGATAGCTGTCAGTGCTCATGCTACTGCTATGCTATGGAGATTCCTGTAAATCAAATCTATAAAAATAAATTAAGAAGAGACAACAGATCTTTGGGTCCACATGTTTGAGGTTGAGGTTCTGGTTCCGACCTTGGTTTCTTTCTAGGAGATTTGCGAGGTGCCTCACCTCAGTAACTATCAGGAGCCACGTTTGTGTTTTTTTTTTTCACCTCTTCAAAGGAATCCTTGCCTTTACTGGGCTCAGATAAGGAAACTTTTAAGCACTGCAGATTAGAGTAGTTCTTTGGGGTAAATTTGGGTATGAAGGACACGCAAAAGTTCTGCACTTGGATTTCTTCTTCGGGTGCATAATTATTTTTGTGTGGGGACAGACTGGGTGAGTGTTCAGATGCTCTGAGCGGGAGATTTAACAATAGGTTTTCCCTATTCTATATAATAAAAGGGTAATATGCAAATAGACCGAACGGCAGAACAAACAGTCGCTATGATGTGCACTGACCACCAGGGGGCAGATGCTAATCGCAGGAGATGGTCATCACAGGCACTGCCCCCTGGTGGTCAGTGCACTCCCACAGGGGGAGCGCTGCTCAGCCAGAAGCTGGGCTGAGGGCTGGTGAGCATAGCGGCAGTGGCAGGAGCCTCTCCTGCCTCCGTGGCAGAGTTAAGGCTGTCCAACTGATGGCTTAGGCCCGCTCCTCTAAGCCATCAGTCAGACATCCCCCGAGGGCTCCCAGACTGCGAAAGGGCATAGGCCAGGGACACCCTAACCCTGAGTATATGAGTGCACAGGGCCTCTAGTTAATTAATAAAAGAACTATATAAATCATACATGTCTGAATTCAAGCAAGGTATCATGACTTATGTAATCATTAGAGGCTTGGTGCATGAAATTTGCATGGGTAGAGTCCTTGGGCCTGGTCGGTGATTAGAGCCAATCTGTGGGGCAATGAGGGGCCCCTGCTGGCACCCACCTTGGTTGGCCTGGAGCCTGCGGGCTGGGGCAGCTCCTGCATTGTGCATCTGCCCCATGGTGGCCAGTGCACATCATAGTGACCGGTTGTTCTGCCGGTTGTTCTGCTGTTGAGTTGATTTGCATATTAGGCTTTTATTATATAGGATATTCCCTTGAAAGAATTTTGGTTTGTGAGTGTATTGCATTTTAAGGCACAGAAACAGATAGAGTCAACAAAACATTGATTATTTCTTATCACGTAGTGAGTTATTAGTATGTACATTTTCTAGTAAAAACAATCTGAGAATTATTTACTTACAATAATCATTTGTTAGAGTTAGACAATAGTTTAATTAAATAAATTCTAGCAGCAATGTCTAAAATGGCTGGGTGAGGAAGAATTTAACTGAAATGTTAAAAGATAAAGTAATTGGTCATTGGCCCCAGATAGATATACAGCTCAGGTATCTTGAATCTAACCATGTGTTGAATACTGAATGTCTTTGTTGTCCTAACTATTTTCTCTAACCTACTACACGTGGGTTATAGGAAAACTTTCAAAGAACAAAGAGAAATTGGAGGTTTACCTGTTACATTTACACCATCAGACCTTTGACACCAGACTGTTCGGGAAGAGCCTTTCCAAGCACTTGCCATCCATTTATACTCATAACACTGTCCATCTGCAGGGACACAATACACATTAACAGAAGCATTGTGCTGTCCAGGAGGATAATCATGGAGACAGAGTATTAGTTAAATATTTATAAGCAGTTGAAAAGTGATAAAAAGGCCATCTCAAATGATGCAATTGCCAATTTGTTGTCCTGAAGTTGCCATATGTTATGCAATTCCGATATTCACCTAAATCCCAAGTAATTGTCCATATCTGCTGTTATACTATCTCATGTAAACCTAGATTTTAATTTTATATTTTATCGAAACATTATGAAATATCAAACAGTTAGACAAGGACAAAGAATAACTACAAAATTTCAATTACACATCATGCCATTTAGCAAATACTACCATTTAGTTATATTTGCTAAAGTCTTTTTTTTTTTTTTGCTTGTTGATGAGTGAAAAATAACACATAAACTTGATGTCCTATTACATTCCTTTCTGATCTCCCTCCATCCCTGTCCAGCAATACCCACTATTATGAAGTAGATAGATCTGTTCTGTGACCTTTTATATTCTTTTGATATATATATACTATAAATATGTAACTATAAATGATATAAGGCATTATTTTTAGTCAGGCTCAAAATTTAAAAAGTATTATACCCTGAATCATTCTAAAACTTAATCCATGTTACAGATGAATTATTTCTATGTGATTTTAATGTAGATATAGTCAGTTTATTTTTAGCTTCTATATAGAATTTCATGGTAGTAATTGCTATAACTTATTGCACTATTTCCTTTAAGGGTGGACTTGCGGGTTGTTTTCAATTTTTGCTATTATATCAAGTCTCAGTGGTCAACCTTACGTAAGCCTCCGTGTGTATCCTTAAGGTAACTTTCTAGAAGGGACATTTCTGGGTATCACCGTAGAGACAGCTGGAACTTTACTAAATGTAGGTCATTTTTCTCCTCTAAAAGAAGGCCATTCACATACCCACCAGCAGAGAATAAGGGCTACCATTGCTCTACACCCTCACAGACCTTTATGATGTCCAGATTTAAATGTTTTGTCAGTCTTGTGAAAAGCTATCTTGTCATTTTAAATTGCGGTCTTCTGATTGCTAAAGCTATCAAACAGTAACAAAGGTGTGTGGGGGCATTTAGATTTCCTCTTATGTGAATTGATCATGTACATGTATATCTTTTGGCCTTTTTCCTACTGAAATCTATACTTTTTTTTTCTTTCTTATTGAATTGTGGGGCTTTTTATTCTAGAACAGCAAGTCTTAGAGTGTGGTTCAGGAACCGTAGGTGACTTTGACATTCTTTTAGGGCATGTGCAGGTGACATCTGTGTAGATTTTTTTTTATATACGGGGGGGGGGGGGGAGGGGCAAAAGTAGGGAATATGCAAAAACAGTTTACTTTTTTATTATTACTTATTAATTATTGTATTATTTTTCATATGAATAACTGTAAAGCGACTACTTTTGCCCAACGGTGTACATAAAGTAAATTAAAATTGCAATAGATTGAACAAAAGCAGGTAAGGAATTCAGCTGTATTCCTTTAAGCTACCTATAGAGATTTGAAATAGTGTAAAACAAGATCATACTTGCCACTAAACTTATTTTTTATTTTTGAAAATAATTATTTTTCAGGAAATATTTATAGTAACATATAGTTGGTTTATGATTATCTCTTACCTAATAATAGATAAACATGTAAAATTGACCGTACCTCTGCTACTCCCACAGCCAATCAGGAATGAGTGTGAAAATTAACCGGACAAATATGGCAGGCTAATTTGCATATGAGTGACCAGCCCGTGGGAGGTGGGGGATGCCTGCTATGAGGGGAAGGGAGGGGGACTGAGGGAACTATAGGAGTGTGTGGCCCGAGAGTGGAGACTTGATGGCTCCCAGGCAGCCAGGAGCAAAGCCAGGGGAAGGAAGGCCTATTCTTGCATGAATATCGTACAATGGGCTTCTAGTTTATAATAATAAAAGCATAATATGCTAATTAGACTGGACAGCCGAATGACCTTCCAGATATCCTTCTGGACGAAGCCAGGGCTGTTGAGGGCCAAGGCAGCTGCAGTGGTTGCAAGGAATTTCATGCATCTGGCCCTCTAGTTTAAAATAAACTAACAAACATTGAGCAGTTTGGGATCCTCACTTGCTAAGAGTATATAATAGTCTTATTTTGAAAAAGTTCACAATTGTTCTAGACATTAATCCATTGAAATTAATTGACATCCTGAGTATCTTTTATTTTATTTTTTATTAAGGTATCACAAATGTGTCCTTACACCCCCCCCCCATTGTCCCCTCATACCCCCAGTCCTGCCCCCATCCTCACCTTCACCCCCTGATGTCTGTGTCTATCACTTATGCATATATGTATGCATACAAGTCCTTTGGTTGACCTCTCCAATTTTAAGTCTGTGGCTTGTCTAGTAACCTTGTTTATAGTCTATTTTACTGTATAGAAGATTTAAGTTTAAAGGTATTTTTATTTTTTCCAGTTTTGTTTGTGTTTTTGGTCTCATATTAGGAGATCTTCCATCCCATTCTGCACCCCCAGGAACAACCCCCCCCCCCTGCTGCCCCCCCCCCCCACACATACACTCAACTTTGTTTTACTACTTAAGATTTCACATAAATGGGAGGTGTATGTTTCTTTACATTTTGGCAAACCTCATAATTCAAATCACTTAAGTTTTACCTTGTGTGCATATGTGAGTACATATTTGATAGATTTGAGTTTTTAATAGTTATAAAATTGTGGTTTGGCTTCTCTATTATTCTTGGTAAATTATAACATTCTAAATAGTCTTTAAGTTTTAGCAAAATTTACTCACAGAATGATAGTTTTCTAAACACTATTTTATCTGTAACAATATCAATTTTCTTCAGTGATTTTGCATGAGGTGGCCTATTTTGCTAGTTTGGTAAAAAAGCAAGCTATTGATTTTGTTGATTATCTTGCTTCTTTGTTTTCTATCTCAATGAATTTGTATTTATCTGTATTGGTTACATTGTTCTTCTTTTCTGTCTTTTCTTTAATTGAGTAAAAAGCTTAGCTCATTTTAAACTCTTCTCCCTCCTATCTGAGCATGAAAGGATTTCAGTTCTAAGTAATATACAACATTTGACATGTAATACTCTAAAAGTGTGGTTTTTCAGTTTTTCTTCTCTATGTGCTTTGGGAAGGATATCTTTTTCAATTGTAATGTAATTAAAGTATAATTTTATTTAATTTTCATTTTAGGTAAACAATTCTCTTTCTTTCACTTGGAAATTACATCATTTATTATAATCCCTGACCCTTCTTTCCCAGGACATATGGGATGTTTTATCTGGTAAATTTGGGAAGATTTAACTAATGACAAAGTAGATAATTCTATTTCAGACAAATTGGCTTTCATTTTAAGCATTTTATTCAAACTTCTAAGCTTTCTCCTCCAACTTTAATAAAATTGTGATATTTTTACTCCTGTTTGCTATTCTATGCCATACTCCTTCGTTTCAAATACAAGCAGGAAGGAGAGAGCTGTTTGCTGAACCCTACATTCTCCACTACACAGCAATATTTTGTTTCATTTAGACTTGATTTATATTCCCAAACTATGACATTTTAATGCTCTGTGGTTCTTCAAAATATCATGTTTTGCTTGTATTTGGTGCATGGTTCTAAATGTATATACACTACAGATATGTATATTCAAATAGGTTTGTATCAAATTTAGAGTAATTTTTACCAGTACTTTGATTTGTCAATTTCTGAAAATTTAGTAAAAATCTCTTTTTGCTGTAGATTTGTAATTTTTATTTATTCATTCTTTTGATTTAAGTACATTGAGTATATTTTTAGATTCAAACATGAACAGGAGTGTTACAGGTGTACAAATAATGAGCTGCTAATTGTCTCAGCTTTTCTTAGCCCATAAAAGTGGAAGACATTTTCACAATATTGAACATCTAATTTATGGAGAGTGGTAATATTTTTTCTTCCTATAAATATTTAAAATTTATAATCATACCCTTAATGCAATTCTCAATCTTAAGTGAGATCTTGGCCAATTCTGCTTATTTAGCAGAAAATTCTATATCTTGGGCTTTTGCTTATTAACAAAAACACTAAAATGAGTATATTTCATGAATTATACCACTTACCATCACATGATCTTGTTTCTAACATCTGCTCTGGGCACAGGTATTGATTCTCTAGTTCTTGTATAATCACTGCTCTGGAACGGACCTGTATTCCACCAAAGCCGAGGTCCTCACCATTCACACAGGTCAGCTGACACAGGCTCCATGAAGACCAGTCCTTCAAATAACAGTCACCTGCAAAACATAGGCATGTGGTTTATACCCATCTCCATAAGAATAGCCAGCCAGATATCATTTTATTTTTAACCCCACTGGGCAACGCCTGTAGGTATGCCTGTCATATTTGTAATATTTAGATAAGTATTTGATATTTCCAAGTTTATAGGTAGCTTTATAAATTTGTATTAATGTTATTTTCTGAGTGGATATTATGGGTATGGACTATGCATTGTGTAATGTTATCAAATGTAAACTACTGCTGTCTGTTATGATTCCCCTCTCCTAAGAGACACCAAATATTTGATTGAACCTACCACCATGCTTGTCATTATCATTGTAAAGAGGTTTATTAAACATTTGGTACTCCTCAAAGAAAATCTAAATACACATAAAACTTGTTTCCTAGGTATTCATAATTTCAAAAGAGCTTAAAGTCAAAGTCTGAGAAAGCCGGCATTTATGCTTTATTCCTAGTTCTTCTCAGAGGTGTGCAGCCGGAGCCAAATGAGCAGCTGCAGGAGTGGCAATAATGCACGCCATTTCCTTGATCTACATCGTCAATTCACTCTCCCTTTTTGTCAATTATTGTTTGAAGAATAACATGCATGCAATAATGTACATAATCATAAACACATAGATAGCTGAGTCTTCACAACCTGACTGTATACTCATATAACCAACACCCAAATTAAGCAACAGAGGATTCTCAGAATCTCAGGAAGCCCCCTATGTTACATATGGAATTGTGCCATGTGTAGTTTTTTACGTCTGGCTTCTTTCACTCATTCATGTTTGTTTGTGAGACCCAGCTGGTATATAATACTTCTAATTTGTTCATTGTTATTGTGGTACTTTCCTCTCATTGTAGGACTTACCCCAAGTCAGATATCCATTCAATTATTGATGGGCATGTGGAGAGCTATAAATTTTTCTTATTATGAACATTACTGTTGTGAACATTTTAGTACGAATCTTTTGGTGAAGTTACATACATGAATTCCTCTTGGGTATATATCTAGGAGTGGAATTGCTGGGCCATAGTGCATCATGTGTTCAACATCAACATCTTGCATTTTGTGAACAGGGAGGATTTAATGAAATGTACCTTTTGCACCTTTCCCATCTATTATTCAGGACTGATTGCTTGGTGATATTGTTCAGAGGATACAGAAAATTATGACAGAAAAATTCACAATAGGTTCTTATCACTTTAATTATTCCAGCCATATCACATGAATAATTCATATAGCCTTTTATTTTGCTAAAGTTGCCTAATATTAGCACAAAGTTGCCTGGATACGTGATTAATGAACAAACTTCTTGTGCCATGATTAAGAAAGTCTTGAAAAAACATGAATTATTGACCAACAAATACATACACATAATAGTAAAGTGGGGTGATTTTTTGTAGACTTTATTATAGTATGTCATTAATTCTCAACTAGTGTCATCCTACAGGGCAGAAAATTCTTATACATTTTGGAAGTGCTATGGAAAAAGGACTTAGTAAGAACTTTTAAGTAGTGTGATAACATTTTATAAACATTTCTATTCCTAGGAAATGCTACTTTTGGGTAACTCAATTTTTAATTATGCAAAAGAAACTATTAAAATGGAAAAATTCCTATCAATATGAATGTTATAACTTTACCTTAGTGATCGAAAACTACATGAATATAAACAAATCTTTCTACTGGTAGGCTTTATCTCTATGCTTATATCACTTGACACATGTGCTTTGTAAAAAAACCCCAAAACTCAATAAATTATTTAATCATAGTATGTGAATGATATCATAACTACCCCCTAAATAATCCATGTCAGGACTCAAAGATTTAATCATGAGAGTGAGGCATTGTCTTTACTGAACCTATTTTTATATTTTGACTAAATAAACCATCAACATAATAAACTACACTATGCCTGCCAAAGATATGACAATTAAGTATATGAAATGCATTTCCTACTTCAATATTTCTCTCTTTAAAGCATATTAGTTCACATACTGCTTGCTTTAAAAAACCATAATTGAAGGAAACTATCACCGGAGGAACTGAAATGAATAAATTGTAATTTATAAGAGAAGAACAGCCTTCTCCTGGATTTGTAATTTCTTTAATTAGAATGATGTGTTGTTTGCCCTCTTTTATGTTATTAAGGGATACTTTAGTTTTCCTTCCCATCATTTACCACATATTTTAATCTATGTTTATTTAGGTCATTATTGAATTAGCAACAGTTTCTCCCATAAGATGATAAGCTCTATGAGGACAGGATAGGTTTGTTTCCCACTGTATCTCCAACCTTGAGCCCTGTGCCTAGTCTACAATAACATCTGATGAATAATCGAATGGGTGATCGTGCTGCAGGAAGTATGATGGAAATAAGTGGGGAGGCTCCACAGTACAGCGTATGCCAATACCTGAATACAAGAATTCCAGTACTGTGCGTGTAACAATGACCCTGTTATTGGCACTGGCGATGTGGTGCTGGACTAGGTCTGTGATCGGCAAACTACGGTTCGAGAGCCCCATGCGGCTCTTTGGCCCCTTGAGTGTGGCACCTCCACAAAATACCACAGCCTGGGCAAGTCTATTTTGAAGTGGCATTAGAAGAAGTTTAAGTTTAAAAAAATGTGGCTCTCAAAAGAAACTTCAATCGCCGTACTGTTGATACTTGGCCCTGTTGACTAATGAGTTTGCCGACCACTGGCTAGGTAAATCTTACAACTTTTAGGTAAAAAGCTGTGGTCAGCTTTTGTTGACAATGTGGCCATTCAAAACACATCAAAGCCCCAAGGGTCAGTCTTTGGTCCTGTTTAGAGTCCTTACCTGTTGCCATAGCCTCAAACCTCTGTCTGCTGTGAAGCAAAATATTTTATTAGATAATGTATGAGATCTAAACTGAAACCAGACCAAGCTGGGGAGCAGGAAATGGAACAGGGTAATGACTGGATCAGGAAAAGGTTATTATCGACAGGTGTGGGGATGTCAAAGAAGCAACACTTTTCCAAGGTCCAGAAACTCAGATTTTAAAAAAAATATATTTCTTAACTGATGAAAATACCAGTGTGTGCAAATATTGTTACATATACACAATAAGAAATGCCCTCAAAGTCTAGCACATAGTTCAAGGTATCAGGGGTTATTTTATTTACTGCTTTGTTCAATTATCAGTTCATCTTAATAATAAGCTATAAAAACTGCCATTACTATAACCTCAAGTAATTTACTTATTAAAGAATAAGTAAATTGATGAGTGAATGAATGGGCAACCCTTCTTGTCACTATTTCCAGCTTTCAGACACTTAATTCTATTTAGAAAATTTAAAAAAATGTAACTTATCCATTCTTAAAGCTTCCTTAAGTTATATCCTTTTTATATAGAAAAATATATTTTATGCCCCATCATTATTTATCAAATCCTCATTTTTATTTTTTGAGATCATATTCAAAGTAACTCATTTCTTAAATAGATATATTTTTTCTTATCATCATTATAAGCAAATTGGGAGAATAAAAATTTCCATTTGAGAGTAAAATATAGGTAATTCATTTTCACTTTTGTTAAATTTGTTCTCTTCTACTCCACTAGTCATCTGTTGCCTCCAGATCTTTCTCAAGGCCTTAGGCTCATACTTGACATAGAGCTTATTTTGACCTTCTATCTACCCTAATGTTCTCCGCATCAAGCCCAAATTCCTAAATATTAGCTTATCACTGTCTGCCAGTTAGTTTTTTACTATTTGATAGACAACATTTGCTTTCCACGTTTTATTGCATGCACCCCTCCTGTCCAACACTGCATCAGAATGATCTCTTTCAATGCTTTCTTCTGTAATATTATTTTTTCACTCTTGAATGATAATTTAGTTGGGGACAGAATTTTAGGTTGATGATTATTTTCCATCACATTTCAAATACAGTCATGCGCTGCATAAAGATGGTTCGGTCAACGACGGACCGCATATACGATGGTGGTCCCATAAGATTCTAATGGAGCTGAATTTCCTGTAAGAAATGGAAGGATATGTGGTTTAGGAGGAATTTTTTTTTCTTTGATGGGAGCAATATCTGTGGGGTTTGGCAACAGATTCCTTCTCATCCAGAGCACCTCAATTTTGAGTGTACAGATTACATCCCAAACAATCAGCCACTGACCTGTGTCAGCACAGAGCCTGTCACCCTATCAGTACATATTCACTGGGCACTACAACGCTTCCAGATCTAGCTTGTTGGTCTCCAGAGTACGAAGATATAAATTCTTATTGATCTTATACAAGGACACAAGTACGAAGGAGCAACCTTTAAACAAGTTTTAAGGGCCACTGATGCTTAGTGAAGCTTTCTGTGATAGTGTGGAGCCAGTCTGTCCCTGTAATTTGGAAATATTTTCAGCTTGTAATGATGTAAAGCATAGATAAGTCTTACTTCTTCCATCGATTCAATGCCAGAGAGAGCTTTTTTGGATTAGAAAGGGTCAATGGAACCAAGAACAAATTCTCAAGGTCAAAATATTGAGTCCTCAGTTCTACATCCTCTCCATGTTAAACAACTTCTATTTTTATACAAACCACACATTTCCTTAATTCGACCATGCTCCAACATGCAATAGTCAAACCACATGGCCAAGACAACCCCAAGGTTCCGTTATCTATCTTGACTTCTCATTCCTACCGATCCTCTGGCCACTTTTAACTGCCCCCTGACTGTTACTATCTATGCCTTGCCTAGCAGTTTCTCCTCAATATTTTCAATCAGTTCAGCCCATATCCCTGTTCCTGGAGCAGCACTGATAGCTTGGATGTTCTATATCTGACCCTGAGAGAAGGAAGCAGGGGAAGGGCTTGTCTAACAGTGTTTATAAAGTCTACAGTAGTGTCCAGTAATGTCCTAGAGCCGCGGTCGGCAAACTGCGGCTCACGAGCCACGTGTGGCTTGAGAGCCGCGGTTTGCTGCTCTGTTGACTAATGAATTTGCTGACCACTGGGACAGGGGCTTAATCATAAGGAATAACAACAGCCTGTAATTATTGCAATCGAGATTCTAGGTCAGTGTTCGACAAACTCATTAGTCAACAGAGCGGCAAACCACAGCTCCTGAGCCACATGTGGCTTGTGAGCTGCAGTTTGCTGACCACTGTCCTGGTCCTTCACCTTCACTCACTGGCTTACCCAGAGCAGTTCCAATCCAGCAATCTCCACGCAGTCAGTGCACTGTACTGGTGCACCCTTTTAAATATTCTATACAATATTTTTACTCTTCCTTTGTATATTTAGGCACAGAAATAAGACTGTTACAATTTCCCCTGGCTGTGCAGGTTTGTAGCCTAAAAGCAATAGGCTCTACCAACATAGCCTAAGTTTGTGTAAGTGCAGTCTATGACGTTCACACGATGACGAAATCCCTTAATGATGCATTTCTCAGAACATATCCCCAATTGCTAAGTGACACATGACTGTATATTCCATTATCTTTTGGCTTTCATTGTAACTAAGAAGAATTCTGCTATGATTCTAATTTTGTCTTCCAAAAGCAGGTAATCTGTTTTTTCTTTCTTTCTTTCTGAATGCTTTAATAATACTCTAGTTTTCTGCATTTTCTGTTTTAATGATAGTGTATCAAGTTATGAATTCATTGTTGATCCTATTTGAGACCCAGAGGAAGCTTTCATTATCAATACTAAAAATTTTTCTTTAGCTATCGTGTGTTTAAATGCTGCTTCTCCTATTTTCTATTCGTATCATGTAGACATCCTAAATACCTGTCTGTATTTTGGAATGGAAAATACCTACCTGTATTTTCCATTCTTATTTTATCAACTTTCCTTTCATGCTTTTTCTGTCAAACATGAGCCTAAGGCCTTAATTACAGATGTTAAAACCTGCAGATGTTAAAACCCTAGAGGTGTGTGTGTCCACATGGGCAACATGGGGGTCTTGGACTTCACTCCTACTTAGCAGTAAGGAGGCAGTGCCCACATTCATCCACACAATGGTTTCTGCTTGTTACCAGATATGATTGTATGTGGGGATAGTTGACATCCCTTAACTCAGACTCTATAGCTTGGTCCCGGTCCAGGTAAGAAATGATCAAAACCATAAATTATGCTTTGATGTTGTTACCTGGGCAAGGCTGGGTGCAGGTTTCCTCTAAGACCACTTTTTTATTCCCATCTATAATGGGTTCAACATCAGCACAGAATTCTTCATCCACCGCTTTGCTGAGATCATCAACCGACCCATCACTCACGACACAAGAAATGTTTCTTGCTCTGCTCCCTTCTCCACACTGGGCATCCTGGAATGAAGAAAGAAATAACTAATTAGGAAAAGAAAAATAATTCATTAGCAAGCTCATCACTTACAGTCATCTCTGCGCCGCTGATTTTGATTTATGAGCAGTTGAGGAAGTACTTGAACCCTAGGGAAGGAGCCCCGCAGGAGCACACGATGAGCAATGTATTTGTTTTCTAGCCAAAAGCAGGCAAATAAATTTTCATTAAAACAAGTCGGTCTCCAGATGACTTACAAAATACAGGACAGGGAGTGCTTGTTATCAAAACGAATTAAAGCAGTCATGAAAAAGCGAGGCACCTAAAATCTTTAAGAGGAAGCATGCTGTGTGTAAGCTCTGAAAAATAATTCTGAAACTGTGTCTGCACACAAAAAACACACATTTCCACACGACGTCCTGGGATTTGATACCTGCACTTGGCATGGAGACCACTGGCCATATTGCCACCGATAGCAGGGTTTCACTGGGCAAGGCTTGGACTGCTCCATCAGGGCAGGGCACGGCCTTCCATCACCCTGAAAGGGCTGTGTCACTGTCCGTCTTCGGATCATTTTCCCTTTAAGAGACACAGAGCAATGTGACATTAGTGACATGTTGCACAAGCACGCATCTTGTGGGGAGAAGGTATCCCAGACTCTCCAGAGGAGATCTGAGGAACAAACAAGTCTCAGGTGTTTTAGAAAGAAAGACACATCGATTCAACCTTACTGAAGTTTATTGGGTGTGACTGAAGGTAAGAGGGACATTTTATTTTGGATTTGTTGACAATCGGCCACATGCTCATGAAGGTATAAACTAACCTGTGAGGCCACATGTTTGAGAACATTCTGACCAGGGAGACCACTCAGACAGCTGGCAGTTGACCGGGCATTCCACCATGCAGGATGTGTTCATCTGCCAGTTCTTCTCCAGGCCCAGCTGAAAGGACAGAGGCAGACCTGTTTGCATTGACATGAAGGCATGACCACAAGGGGTGGTGGATGGAAGGAGGAAGAAAGGGAGAGATAGAAGTCGGGATGACAGGAAAGGAGAGGAGAGAGGAAGAAGAAGCAAGATGCCTAATAGAATAAAAAGATATCTGGAGGACAAACACTCAAACTGTTAAAAATATAAAGTGAGAATGGGAGCTAAGGGCATAGGTTAAATGGAGGAAGCCACTTAATTTGATATATTTATATAGTGTTACTTTTCAAATATGCAATGAATAAAAGTAGATTTAATCTCCAAGTAGGATGAGTTTCTCTAAGTGAGAAACAAATAAGTGTAAGCATGACTATTTTCCATTATTTAAAAACCAAGAGTGTCATCAATATATAGATCTATAATTGTATCATTGGGACACCTTATTTTTATATGTGCACGTTAAACAGAAAAGCAAAAGGGAAAGGTTTTCAAGACAAATTGCTACTCAAAACTAATGACATAATGTTTTGAAATACTATAAAATATCAGTTTTTAGTACACTACCTCTCTAAAAAACTCTGGGTCACTAGACTTTTTCTATTTATATATATATATTTTTAATTACAAAGATTTTTTTTCTTCTAAAACTGATCTCAAGCTAACAGTGATATAATTTAATTTAGTGTTAATCTCTCATCAGATAATAATGTGACATTGTATTGGCACTGACTTCCAACACTTATTCACATATTTTACTTTTAAAATATAAAATGAGATTTCAAACTCATCTACTGTATATGCAAACATTTAGAAAGTCTAAAGTACAAAGTAGCATTGAAATAGAAAAATTCAAGTGCATGTTAGAATATAATTTTTAAAAAATATACCTTTATTGATTTCAGAGAGAAAGGGAGAGGGAGAGAGAGAAACATCAATGATGAGAGAGAACATTGATTGGTTGCCATCTGCATGCCCTCTACTGGGGATAGAACTGGCAACCGGGCATGTGCCTTTGACTGGGAATTGAACCTGGGACCCTTCAGTCCGCAGACTGATGCTCTATCCACTGAGCCAAACTGAGTAAGGCAGAATTTAATTTCTTAATTTAATATTCCTTGGGATTTTTGAGACCTTTTTTATTTTTGTAGGAAGGAGCAGTTTGTGGTACCTAATTTATATACTATGAGGTGCCAAAAGAAAAACTTTCTGAAATGTTATTCTGCGGATCAAGGAAGCACTTGGTTTTAAGGTATCCACTGAGAGAAGCTCAGATCAATGATTTGTGTACGTCCCTCTGCAGGTGCTCCCACATATTTTCCACTGGTAACACTTGACAAAGATGAGTATTTGGTATGAACATTTTTGCCATATCACTTACTACATAAAGTCTCCAAGTCACTTAACATCATGGGAGGCTGGGGATTAGAGTCTTAAGGTGATATGATAAAAATAGTGTGTTATATTTAAGGTAGATTGCAGTTTCTAAAAGAGAGGGTTTGAATCATAAAATTGAATTACTACTAACTTATTTATTTGGCTAGAAAATTAAAAAGGATATCTGTTTATAGATATTTTGGGCATCCAGTACAAAATAGTTTAACTCCATCCTACTTTTTTATTTATACTTATTACATTTCTTTTTTCTGCCTATTATCTATCTATCTATCTATCATCACCATCTATATAAACATGTGTTTAATAAAAAAATCTGCTCAAGGATTAAAGAATAGGAAAGGAGAAATCAATTACTAGGTATCAGGTGAGTAAATGTCTGAAAAACATCAAAGACAAAAATACTATATAAATACTGGATGGGCTTAACCCCAATTTTCCTCTTTGTTGGGTAGTAATGCCATTTTTCTTTTCAGCTGTTAGAGAAACAGCAAGAGTTGGCTACTGCTGTTGCACTGAATGCAGGGTTTACACATGTGTGACCAGGCAGGCAATCAATCCATAGTTAAAAAGATCGCCAGCTTTTCTCAGGGCTATTATTTCATCCTACTGCATCCATAGGGGTGGCTAAATGGGATATGAGTTGTTTAATTCAATTCCTGCAGCGAGTAGTATGTTCTCCCTGAAGACAGTGTTTGCCAGACTGTTATAATTTAAATCCCTAATTGTCATTGCAGTATTCAAACAGAACAATATTTGTACATAGAGTAAACTTATCTACCCTCCTGGATTCTTAAAATTAGTTGTTTGTCAGGTTTTTATTTAAATTTTACTGTAGAAATAAGGACCCTTTTTGTACCTTTGTCCTGGAGTCAGATGAGCTATTTTAAAATTGGTCTTGTATGATTGGGGGTTAGCTTTGAAAAAGCTCTTAGAGCTTATTCATTGTACTAGTATATTTCATCCCAACTGAGGAGGGCATTTATATGAGAATTGGTAAGGAAAGAGACATATTAATCAACTAGAAGCAGATCATAGAAGACTCTGCAGCCAGCACATGACTATAATAATATTCATTTATAATAATGTTGTTTTTTATAATGGTTCCATTACTTTCATGTTATTAGTTTTAAAAGTGATTCAGGTATATAATTTCTAATTAAACCAAAATTATGAATAGACAAAGTTATAAGATGATAGTGAGAGAAACTTATTAACTGGACAACTAGTGTCCAGCACATTTGGGAGCTTTGTTCACATGGACAGAGATGTAAGGAAATTATGTTAGGTCTATATGATAAAGATATCAAATGGATTAACATGTTTTCACCTCAAGTTTTCCATTAGGAGTCAGAACAATGTACTCTGGGCAGATGTGCAGCCAGAAATAGACATATGGTCAACATGTGTGCTGAACCCTCATGAGGTCATAAGCTCTTCCTGTGTGTTCTGGGCATAGCGAGGCCTCTGTCTATCTTGGTTCACATTTAACCCAGTGGGTCTCGGACGCAGGAGGAGTCTACACCTCTCAGGAATGTGAGTACCCTTTTGTCTGGAAACCAGACAATATAATTAAACCACGAAGGGTAGCTTCATGAAAGTAAGAAAGGCCAACAAGTGTTTTCTCACATCGCATAGGGTCCTACCTAGAAATGATGACATTATTTCCGCAAATTGAAGAATTAAGAAGGACTATTCTTTGTGCCTGAAAGACATTAACAGCAGACTCCATTCCTTTGTTTGAATCCCAAGCTCTCGCTGCTCCACACCTGAGTGATTAGACTCTCGCAGCTGGGTATCGGATCCTAATATCAAAATCTGCTACAAACCCACTTGCGATCAATGTTTAGCAACAGAGAGAATGAATGATGAATCTTGGCAGGTGTCCCAGGCAACACAGAATTCAAATGAAATTACAAAGATGATGAGTAGTCTGATTAAGATTTATTGCCTATATTCACCTTGATTACTTATTGTTCCCCAAGCATTTCTTTCAGAAAATGGTAATTAGCATACCTCTGGGCTTCAAGCAGAACAAAATATAGGAAATTATGTGTAGAAATCAGTAATGTTGGATAGTGCCTCTTGTCAAGAGGGTGCTTAATGGCCCCTGAGTAGTGCAAAACAACAACAACAAAACATCTGCTGGCAGCTAGCTGCATGGTGCACAGGTCACTTGGCTCAGCATGAATGGAAGTTATCAGGGAAGAATTTACTCACAAAGATAAAACACAACATCCCCTCACCTCCTCACAGTATTTCGGGTCAACTGACTTGCCATCACTTCGAACACAGTCCAACATCCTTGTTTTAATGCCATTTCCACAAACTGCCTTCTCACTCAGCTGGCACGTACTCCAATCTGCAAGGAAGGGAGCCCATCAGAACCAAGGGCCACACATGAAACAGATTTCAAATGAAACTCTGATGACCCGAATCCCATATTTAATTCACAACTGCTTCCTAAGCCCCACAATCAATCATCCCACATGCAGAGCATATGGGTCCCGGCTCCGAACATATCAGGAGTCAGATGGAATTGCCGGGGTTGCATGTCGCTACAGGGATTATTCTGGAAGGCAGATGTCTACTTGACCATCTTGATAGCCATTTGGTGATAGTGTAAAAATGGAGTTGGCCTGCAGATCAAGTCACTTAAAAACGTTTTTTTTTTCTAATAAAAGCAGAAATTTCAATTTTAATGTTACATTTGTTTTAGCAAAATAATCATAATTTTAAGAGATAGTACTTGCACTGGGCTATGTTCAAATAAACACTGTATTTCAAATAAAACACTTCCAGACTTAGAATGTTTTAAAATATGCACTTATTTATTTCGAAAACATTTTGGTCACATTTATTTAATTACTATTTCATTTCATGTCTTTTTCAAAAGAATCCTTTCATCTCTCTTTTTAGAGTAACCTGGCATATCCCCAAGAATTGCAATTTCCTTGTGTCATCAAAGAAAACTGAAGGGGAAAATCAAGAGGAACAAAAGCCGACCTGAGTGCTGGGTATCAGTGAACCATTTCTGTACTTTATATCTCCGTGAAAATTGCTTGAAAAAATTCCAAAATAAGCTCCAGTGTTTCCCCAAGCCATACATACTCTTTCCTAGAGAATGTACCTTGATGGTAAGAGGCGAGGATTAGGAAAAAAATTGAATTTATAATAAGCCTTTTTTTTCCTGAAAAAAAAAAATACTCCATCTATCCATTTTTATCTGCACCTTTGATAATGATGAAATAATATATTTATATACTTTCTGGCAAGGGTGAACTTGCTGCTGTTTTTACGTCGGATCCATCATGCTTATGTAGAGCTCTCATAGGAAGAATTGTTGTCCCAGTGAGGTTCAGCAATTAAACAACTTCTGAAGAAGAAAGGCATTTTTCCGTAAACCTGACACCCACAGGAAAATCATCTTAGTTCCACCTTCCCAAAGTGGGAGGATGCCTTAAACAGGACGAATTGGACTATTCACAATCTACTGCCGGGCTCATGTTTGTGTGATATTTTCACTTCCTGTATCATGATATTTATTAAAAATGTAATAGATAAATATCTCTGTCATTAATAAAGAACAATTTCCTGCAGCCTGTCCGAAAGGCACACGGACAGAGATGAACCATTCTCACAGATCGCTGCTAAGCTGACACACGCGGGCTTTGGCCTTCAGCTCTGTGATGAGATGACCATCCACCTACCTGTTACGTTATAATCGTAGTGGAAGCAGTTTCTGTTCAGGTTGCAGGGCTCCTTCTCCACAGCATCAGGACAGACTCTTCCCTCATCAGCGGGTTGTCTGATGGGATCAGCTGACCTTTGCCGGAAATTGCTTTGATTGCAAGGCTGACAGAGAATAACACAACTCCTCAGAAAGGTGAATATACTCAGGCACACCAGGCTAATGTGTTAGGGAGAGCGCTGGAGCAGGAGTTAGTATGCTGGGGCCACTGACTAACTGGAACAATCTCATTCCACTTCAATTTCTTCTTCTGTGTGATCAAAGTGTTGGTGAACTTCTGATCTAGCCATAGGATGCTGAAGGGTTTATGTGTCAAATATTAATAGACACATATCATAGGTTCACAACACATTCATATGGTCATATTAATTATTGTAGATCACTAATACAGACATTATCTATCATCTATCTATCTATCTATCTATCTATCACCTATCAATAATATAGTCTGTTGGTTCCAAGAAAACATTTTAAGGGTGACTGTAAATAACTTGCTGTTAGTCATATTTACTTCCCCCAAGGCTCATGTACACACGCACACAAATACACAAGCAGGTAAAAGATTGGTTCACATTTTCTTACTGGTATAGTTGTGTTCTGAAAGCATTTGGCTTCTAAGAACAAGAGCAGTAACTTCAAACCTGACATTAATGGAATGAGGAAATCATTTGCATACCCTCGTAAAACAGCTGATTCTTTATTACAATTTAACTGCATCCAAGTCAACTGCTAGCCCTGTTTTGCTCCTGCTCTATCACTTGGCTGCTAATCAGCTCCTTTAGTAATATTAATACTGAGCTAGGAATTTAATTTTTCCTTGAAAACATGCTTTATAAATGTTTTGAAGTCGTTCTGTATTATATTTCAGCAAATTATTGCCACATTTCATGCAGTTTCCCATGCTTCTGAAGCCATTCTGGTGCAGCTTTACAAAGGTGCCCAGGGGCAAACCCAATTTTCTACATCACCAGCCAGTTCCGTTTCAAACGACTCTCTTCCCAGGGTCCCATGGAAGAACCCCTACGGGCTGCTGAAACCTAGAAGCTTTTGTGTGATTTGAAACTCTCAGCTGGCTTCCCAGGCCCAAAGACACGCAGAGTCAGTGTGCAGAAAGAGATTCATTGACGCACAGCTTCCTTCTTTCCACTCCCTCTCTCTCCAGGATCATTTGTGCTTTAGTGTCAATCCTCCTGCTGCAGAACCCCCACCGGGTGCGAGATTATGCCTACAATTTAAGTAAAATGGATTGGGCAAAAAGCAAGGGATGACAATAACCTGACACCATTAAAGTGCTTTTACTAGAGGTTTATTCTTTGTCCCTTTACCTGGAGGGAGTCATTATCGCCACGGCAGTTCTTAACCTGCTGTGTGTTTGTAAGCCATCTGCAGGCTGTCTGTGCTGGGTGAGGAGGATGGTGGAGCACAAAGCCTGCAAGAGGTCAAGCTGTGCTAGTGTGAGGGGAAATATTGCTGACTTCACATGGCGCAGTCATGGGATGAAGAAGCCAAGAAAATACACCTTGCTTTGGTAACTAACTTGGTAAGTAATTTAGAATAATGTCTTTAAAACGTCAGTGGTCATGAATCAAGCAACCTCTGTATTAATGAATTAATGAATGGCTAATGGTCTCACCAAAGTGCATCGAGTCCACGGACCCCATTCGGATATCACACAGTCCTCAGGACACGGTAGTTTGCACTCTCTGGAACCCAGGGGCATCTCTTCTGGGTCACAGAGGTAATCCTCTACGTGCTCAGAAGGGCCATCCGCTGTGTTCTGCATGCATCTGCAAGAAAACATACCTATCAGTGAAGGAACCAGGACAGTTAATAACAAAGGCCAACCCATAGAATAGAAGGCTCATTTTAAGACAACATTGTGAGAGGGGGTAAGGAGGAGAAAGGGGACGGTGGTGTGGAAAGCTTTGCATTTAATGAATAAAATTCTTCAAACATGAGGACAAAAAATGATCTCTGCCTCTTATAAATATTCATAGAGCTTTGGTATGATTTTAAAAATTATCCTTGTGAAGATAACCACTTGCGGAGGATCTAAGATGGCTGCGCCCAGGTGAACACCTAGCCGCAGCCGCACACAACAATTTCAATAAAATACAACTAAAATATAAAACGGACATTGCCCAGAACTACAGGAAGGTTGACTGACTGGAAATTCTACAGCGAGAAGCAAGGAGAAAACCAGGAGGAGGTGCGGAGGAGCTGGAAAAGCCAAGGTACGGAGACGCGGCACGCGGAGAGGACGGAGCCGGAGAGGAGGGAGCCCGAGTGCCTGGCAGGCGTTCCCTAGCGGAAAGGAGATAAAACTCCGACTGTGCTGGGCCCCCGACTGCTCTAATTCCCAGTTTTAAGCCAGACCCCGGGGACTCAGGCTCAGCCATAGGGAGCCGGGCTGTAAGGCAGAACCCCGGGGAGAGGCGAAAGGAGGTCCCGGCGGCGCGCACACTGCACACAGAGAAGGGACATTCGGCTGTGCCGCGGGATTGCCCTGACGGGAAGGAGACTGGGGCTCCAGACTGCTCTGAACGCCACCTCCAACTCCACTTCCAACTGAACTGAACCCCAATACCGGGCTCATTGGGGGAGAGCATAGACTGTTTGGCAGCAGGCGAAAATCGAGGGCACCTTTCTCTCAGAGGCGCCGGCAGCGAACACTGAAGGACCCGCATAGGGCGGGGCTGACGGAAGCCAAAGCTGCAGGCTCCACCCTGAAACCCCGTCCCATCTGTAACTGCGAAATGCGACAACAAAATAGATCACAAATGAAAGAAATGGAGGACAAAAAGCGTCTGGATATAGAGTTCAAATCTACGCTTATAAGGTTTTTCAAGAATTTCCTAGGAAAGATGGATAAGGCCTATGAGGATATGAAAAGAGATCAACTAGAATTAATAAGGAGTCAACAAGAAATGATAAGGGATCAACAAGAAATAAAGAATACATTGTCTGAAATAAAAAATATTTTACAGAGTCCTAAAAACAGAAGGGAAGATTGTAACAATCAAGTCAAAGATTTGAAACATAAAGAGCCAGAAGACACTCCTCCACAGAAGCAAGAAGGCAAGAGAATCCAGAAAATTGAAGATAATGTAAGAAACCTCTGGGACAACTTCAAACGAACCAACATCAGAATTATGGGGGTCCCAGAAGATGAGAGAGAGCAAGATATCGAAAACATACTGAAAGAAATAGTGACAGAAAACTTCCCCCACCTAGTGAAAGAATTAGACTTACAAGTCCAGGAAGCGCACAGAACTCCATACAAAAGGAATCCAAAGAGGACCACACCGAGACACATCATTATTAAAATTCCAAGAGCAAAAGACAAAGAGAGAATATTAAAAGAAGCAAGAGCAAAGAAGGTAGTAACCTATAAAGGAGCATCTATACGATTGTCAGCTGACTTCTCAACAGAAACCATGCAGGCCAGAAGGGAATGGCAAGAAATATTCAAGGTGATGAATAGCAAGAACCTACAGCCAAAAATAATCTACCCAGCAAAGCTATCACTCAGAATTGAAGGCCAGATAAAGAGCTTCACTAATAAAAAAAAGCTAAAGGAGTTCATCAACACCAAACCAGAATTATATGAATTGCTGAAGGGGGTTCTTTCAGAAGAGAAAGTAAATAAAGATAAAAATTATGAACAACAAATACGTAACTATCAACAAGTGAATCTAATAACCAAGGAAATTAAAAAAATCTGATGAACAATATTAACTGTTGAATATAATAGAATCAGAGGTATGGAAGGGGAGTGAACTGACGATTCTTGGGGAAAAGGGGAGAGGGGGGCGTGGGAAGAGATTGAACATAAACTGTGCACCTATGGATGAGGACAATGGGGAGAGGGGAAACGGCAGAGGGTGGGGTGGGAACCTGGTGGAGGAGAGCAATGGTGCAATGGTGGGGGGGAAAAAAGGAACATTTGTAATAATATGAACAATAAAAACTTATTAAAAAAAAAAAATTATCCTTGTGGGCATAGTCACAATTTTTAAAAAGTGCTACCATAGATTAGCCACCGTGGCCAGACCATGTGACTCGGTTGGGCGTTTCTGTTCGATTCCTTGGTCAGGGCGTATGCTCGGGTTGGGAGCTCAATCCCCAGTAAGATATATTTTAGGGGCAACCTATTGATGTTTCTTTCTCATCTCTCTCTTCCTTCCTCTCTCTCTAAAAATCAATAAAAACATTTTTAAAAAAGTATAGACGCTGTGTGTATATAAACTCTATATGTCTTCCTCTGAAAGGAGAGGATCATTGACCTAGACCCATGGTCAGCAAACTGCGGCTCACATGCCACATGAGGCTCTTTGGCCCCTTGAATGTGGCTCTTCCACAAAATGCCATTGCCTGGATGAGTCTATTTCGAAGAAATGGCATTAGAAGAAGTTTAAGTTTAAAAAATGTGGCTCTAAAAGAAATTTCAATCGTTGTACTGTTGATATTTGGCTCTGTTGACTAATGAGTTTGCCAACCACTGACCTAGACTGAGAAGTGTTCCAAAGAGATTCATAGAGGGGTTGTAATTTGGGAATATAATCCATTTTTTTCTTCTGAACAAAATGGTAGATTCTATAGTGAAGGCAGATTCATATATGAATGGAAGACCAGTCACACTTAAATCTAGTAGTAAGAGGTTTCATAAAATATTTTTTAAAGTAGCTGATGGCATTTATCAAATTGTTTGGCAAACAAAAGATATTTATCACCTTATCTGCTGATAACTTTAACAGAGAGCCAGCAGTGGAAAGACAATTAGCATAGGTGTAGCACAAATTCTCTAAATGTGCTTGTTGGTTTTCCCTCTATCTTGACCTTTTTGATGGTTAGTTTTCTTTTTAACAATAAATTCAAACACTTTATTACATATCATTCTATTGTCAGCAGTCATGAAGGCTCTTCACCCATCTTTGGGAATCTATTAAATGTGGCTAGTACCAGACTTCACTCATACCATAGTTAACTGTGTACATTTCTAGTAAAAGAGAAAAACCTTACCCCTCATCTATCACTTGGGAAGGTCAATCAAATTAATGGGTATAGGGACAGAACTGCATTGCAAGAGATGAAAAGGAAGACTTGAGCTCTTAAGCCTCTTAATTCCATTGTGATGTTTTGTGTTTGTTTTTTTTTAAAAATATATTTTATTGATTTTTTACAGAGAGGAAGGAAGAGAGATAAAGAGTTAGAAACATCGATGAGAGAGAGTCATCGATCAGCTGCCTCTTGCACATCCCCCTCTGGGGATATGCCTGCAACCAAGGTACATGCCCTTGACCGGAATCGAACCCGGGACCTTTCAGTCCCCAAGCCGACGCTCTATCAATTGAGCCAAACCGGCCTCGGCCCATTGTGATGTTTTAAACTGTGAGCTGAATTACATTACTAATTATACCTGAAATTTCAACTATTTTCAGGAATTCAGTAGGAACACTGTATCTTCTCATATTTGCTCTGCAGAATAGCCCTTTATATAGTGCTGCCTAATTTAAAAGAAATGTTGTTTGCCTGTGTGATGCATTCAGGCTAAATAACTGTACTGTTGCTCCTGTCTTAATTAGCTCCGTAGCCTGAAAAAATATCTATACAAACACCCTCCTCTGCAGTTTTTGTAAATTGCATAAAAGAGCAATTGCAAAACAACAGAAAGGTAGATGTCTGGCTTCATTGTTGAAAGAAAAATTAAATTATAAATGTCTCTGAGAGAATTTTAGTTTCTCAGGAAAAAAGTTCTACCTTCACTGGCATTTTTCAAAATGTTCTGCTGACAGCAGCTGTGAGAGGACATGGAACAAATGGGATAGTTCAAAACTCAAAGTTGATTTTGCTGCTAAGAAAACACTGCATTCATAGCGGGTACTGACAGGTACAAGGATCAACTTGCAAAGTTACCTATTGATTCAGAGTGAAGGACAGATGTTCAATATAATGTCGTAATATACACAAAAATTCATTTTCAAAGGTTTTTTTCTTCCTTTAACTTTTATTAGGCAGGTAACATTAATTTTAAGAAAATCAGAATCCTGTATAATAAAAAGGCTAATATGCAAATTGTCCCCTTAACCTGGAGTTGGACCAAGGGGCGGGGTCAGCCAGCCAACCTCCCATGCCCCCTCCCCCTGACTGGTTGGACCCCACCCATGCATGGATTCGCACACCAGGCCTCTAGTAAATAATAAAATTTCACATAATTCTATCAGAGATAACCACTTTAAAAAGATATTTACATATTCATTTTCCTTTCATTAAATACAAGAAAACTTTAACACTATTTGTACCACTTAAGAAAAGGAAAACTTGCTGAAACAGGTTTGGCTCAGTGGTAGAGTGTCGGTCTGCAGACTGAAAGGTCCCGGGTTTGATTCCGGTCAAGGGCATGTACCTTGGGTGCGGGCACATACCAAGTAGGGGGTGTGCAAGAGGCAGCTGGTCGATGTTTCTCTCTCATCGACGTTTCTAGCTCTCTATCTCTCTCCCTTCCTCTCTGTAAAAAATCAATAAAATATATTTCAAAAAAAAAAGAAAAAGAAAAGGAAAACTCACAAACAATATATTATAGACATCTAATTTTTCTAAGTTGTTAATTTTAATGACTATATTTGAATTCCATCACTTGAATGTCCACAATTGCTAAAAACCCTTACAAATTATTTATAAGTTTTATTTATTTTATTTGGCATTAATGATTTTATTATTCTATTATAGAATGATAATAAATATTTGGATCAAGTTTTGACCTCAAAGGAAGGCCCTATAAATTCATTTGCTTTTTTCAAATTCTTGGCCTTTTTTCTTTCTATATGAAAGAAATTATGCTGTGAGAAAACTGAATTATATTCAGAAACATAGTATAGACTCAAGTTGGAGGCCACATGTGTAGTAAAAGGAGGTGCATTGTCAGCAGAGAATTCAAAAGCAACAATAAAAATAACCGAATAGCTCTGTTTTTATTATCACAATGTGCTGGCACTTTAAAAAACATGCCAGGGAAAAAAGTATCTCTTCCCACTAGAGCAAATCACTTTTATCACCCAGCCTTTGAAATGTCATACCACCCTAAAGCAAAAGAACAAGATGGAATATATTGAATCCTGCTCTCAAAGACTCATGTATCCTAAAATGTCACCCAATGCTTGCATCTAAGGATGACGTTTTGACCTTAATTAGCCAAGGTACACTTCTCAATCAGTACAGAAACATTATTACATGATCAGAGATGACAATCAATGCTGACCTTTTCTCTTCTCTATTTTCAGTAAAGATGTTTACTGGATAATAATTTGATCTGAAAAGTTACTTAGTTTAGGATATGTTTGAAAATGTTAAGAATATTTATTAACAGAGAAAAATAAAGCAACATGTAGAGATAATTGTAGAGAAAGCTGAAAGAATAGTAGTTCTTTATTATAAACAAGAGGCCCAATGCATGAAAATTCGTTGCAAGAGTAGGCCTTCCTTCCCCTGGCTGCCAGCACTGGCTTGCCTCCAGCACCTGGGACTCAGGCTTCCTTCTTTCAGCCCCTGGAAGGCACCCAGAACCCAGGCTGCTCCCCTCCTCATGGTCCGAGGGCATCTGAGACCCAGCTGGTTTCACTGGGGCCACCCACAGTCACCCAGGACCCAGGCTGGCTTCCCTCAAGTCCCAGCTTTGTCAGGAAGGTCATCTGGAATGATATCCAGAAGAGATCTAGTCTAATTAGCACCTTTTTATTATTATAGATATATTTTTTTTTTTACTGACCAAAAAACCAACTTGATCAAATTCTTAATGTAAGAAAAAATATCTTTAAATTCAAAGCAAAATTTAAATTTCGGAGAAGAAGGGCAGAAGCATAATTTCTTTCTTTTTCTTCCCTGTTCCCTTATCAACTCATTACATCCTCTTCCCCACCATCTTAGAAAAGTTCCTCTAAAAAAAATAAATTTAGAGTTCAGATGGGCTTTTGAAAAAAAGAAACAGAAATTATTTTTATTGGAAGCAAGGCTATACCTAGTGTGTCAAGGCTTTTAAAATACAAACATTAATTTGTTCTACTTTTCTACTGAAACAGATTAAAAAATATGAATCTTAAATTCATGAGTAGGTAGGCCATGGGTGAGAATGAGCTTCACAATATGAGGTATCAAGTTCTGGATGGTTTTATATTTGTCTTTACTGTGTGCCACTCAGCTGGTTAGAAGAAACTGATAGAGTTAAACAGTTGACAAGAGACTTGGGTTTGAGTGCCAACCCTGTTACTTTAGTAGATGCCTGTCCTTGGTGAATTAGTATTTGTGAATCTACTCTATAAAGTGGTGTGCTGCACCAGCACAGCCAAGGTTTTTTGTTAGCCTGAGTGGGAGTGACGAAGGATGGAGAAATGATAGACAAAGAGAAAAAGCTCCGCCTAGGTCGATCCTCGGTGTCTGGCTGAGGCCATAGAACAGATCCTGCCTGCAAAGCTGAGGCTTTATTTATATAATAGTCAGGGACAAACAAGGTAGTTTACAATGTTCTTGTGAGTTTCACTTGTTTTGGCAGCACTTGCTGCCCCTCCCACAGCCCACTAGCTACCCAGGGAAGATCTAGGGGGCAGTCACAAAATCAAGCTTAATTATGCTTAGAGGACTATGCCCTCTCCAAACGGGGACTTGTTTGTGGCTTTGCAGTCCTAGGCTTAACCCTATAACCACTTCCAACAAGTGGAATTAATGAAACCTCATACATTTGTTACCCTGGTTCCAGAACCCCTAAAGATCATATGCAAAGGCTGTAGAGAAACTTTAATGAGTGTCAAACTTGTATTAGGTGTTAGGGAGTTTCTGTGATTATGACAGGGTCCCAGCATGGAGAAACATGGGGATTAAGAATAGTAGCAAACATGTAAAAAGGCCATTTCGTAACAATGCCGGGTATATGATACCACAGAAAAATGCTGCTCAGTAGAGCTCTCTGATGATGGGGATATCATGCTGTCTGAGAGAACAGCCTCGAGCCACCAGTGGCTCTTGAGCTCTTGAAATGGATCTAGTGTGACTGGGAAAACACATTTCTAATTTTAATTCCTTTAAATTTAAAGTGAAAACAGCCAAATGTGGCTATGGTTACCCTACCAGCCAGCTTGGCCACAGAGAAAGAAACGAGGGGCATTAGCCAATGGGTTTTAGGGAAGGCTTCCTAGAACAGACAAAATTATTCAAAGTTGGGCAGTTTGACATAAAAGCACAAGAGTTTATCACAGATTACCATTAAAATGTGTCGAGGGCCACCTGGGAAGACACCTGGACATTCTTTAGATTGCTGCTGACTGGGCCCGGGATATTGGCGGAGTCACGTCAGTTGCACTCCGGGCCCTGGGGGTGCGGAGATGTTCTTAGTTTCTGGCTTGTGTTTGTCCAGGAGGAAGAAGTGAGTGGAACCTGGGCCCTCCCAGGCTCCTTGTTTTCCTGTGAAATCCCCTTGTGGATTGGAGAATAAATAGATGCCCTGCGTGGCTCAGGAGGTCATCGTCTGTCTCTCTAGCAGAGGAGTTTGGTGGCCCTCCAAACTTAAAATCTATCTCTGTGTCTTCTCTCTTTATTTCTATTATTTCTCAATCCCTGGCCACCTCCACTTAGAACTGGGTTGTTCATCTCTCTTTCCGTGCGGGACTCGGAAAAGGGAGATCCCCGCTGAATCAGGCCCCCGCAAAAACACACCCAGAAACACTGTAGGCTTTTAAGGCACCAGCTTACTGGGGTTTGGAAATCAGCATCGGTTCAGCTCTCCAGCAAGAAAAGCACCTCAGAGCGAAGCTTCCCAGAGCAGAAGGCCGAACATGAAAAGCTGCTGCTTGAAGCAGATCTTTTAGAGTTTTTCACGAACACAGATCCCCTAAAAATAAAACTAAAGCCCACTTATTGGGAGGTTGAGTGAGGAAGGAGTGAACGCTCAAGCTGGCAGGTATGGCACTGGGAGGTTTTCGTGTTTTGCTTCTCTGTGTAAACCGACGTGGGCTCACCTCACTTTTCGGGTTTGCACGCCGCCTCCGCAGTTGTCCGGCATGTTCACAAAGGTCACCTTGCACACGCTCCACGGCTCTGTGACCCACAGGTACTGGTTGCAGTCACTCTGGCAGGGGACGACCTCGTACACCTGAAACACACACAGTTCTCAGCGACCTCATCCCAGGTACCTGATGAGAGTGGGAAGAATTTACATCACAATAACCATTATATGCACATTTTAGCTACTTTCATTTCTCTCCATTATTTGAAATTTCTTGGAGTTACAGCAGGGCAGAACTGGCTGTGCCCTTGGCCCCACTGTAGTTGGAGATCCACCTTTGGTACCGTACTGAGACAGCACAGGGACTGAAGGAATGCCAGATGACAGAAGGAACACGGATACGCTGACTACAAAAATGTCCCCATCCCAGCTTCTCCTTGAACAACAATGAAGTAGTCTTTCGTATCTCCCTTCTAACTACTTCCTTGCAGAAGTTGAAACCACTGTTCAAAACATGCTGTTGTTCAACGTTTGACTGCTACAGTACACACCTTCTGGGATGGCAGTAGTGAGCAGTCCAGCCACCAAGACAGTTGCCAAGCAACTAGACAGAAGGAGGAAGTAGCCTGGCCCTGACATGGGAAATTTCACCAGTTAGCTTTTGTAAAAAAACACCCACCTTTGTGTGCAAATCTGCTTCGTTCTCAGCTCATAAAAGCTGACAAGCAGAGGCAGGTCCCCATGTTCTCTTCCCCCCCGCCCCCACCAGTCAGTTTGGAGGACCTTCCTTTCCTCTGTGTGGCCTCCCTTGTGTTTGAATATCAGCTTAGTAAAATTTGTCTAGAAATTTCTCTGATGGTTCTGCTTGATTTCTATCATGGGAAACCGAAGGGCCCCAAACTCCATAACATCACCACAGTATTGTAATTTCCTAGGCCATCAGTCTTGTTTATAGTTTTGTGTGTCTTCTATACTTACCCCAGGGTACTCATATGTTAGACAATCAATAGAGATTTGTTAAATAAACGAATGAATAATACATGAATGAATTAATTAAATAGTGTATAAAAGTAGCTTTTTCAAATAACTGGGCTTGTTTATAAAATACGTGCAAACAACCAAAACTTGTATTTTTTTGTGCTCCATTTATGAAACTAAATTAAAAGATAAATAACATGAAATAAAGCTATCTTCAAACTTTAGTTAGGACTAACGCAGTGAGGGCCACTTGAAACAAAGCAAATTGTGTGTGCGCTATATCCATACAAGCTTTCACAGTCCCAAGTTTGAGGTGTTTGTTTGGTTTCAGGATTTTTAGAACAATGAACAAGGATTTCTTTTGTTCAATCAGAAGAATGACAAATAAATAGTAGAAAAAGTGTTTAAAAAAATCATTGCAAAATCTGTAATTATCCACTTCCATCTCTTATTTTACACACACACACACACACACACACACACACACACACACAAGCATATGAATGCTTATATAATAATTTACAGAGAATACAGATTTAAATAGGTCTTTAGAGCTATTTCTTGGTATAAATTTTAGTGGATTAAATGCTAAAGTAAAGAGACAAAGTAAATTTATGCCATATAATAATAAAGTACATGCATTATTGAAGTAAGAACTATATTTACTGTCATATGATCACATTCATATTGGGAGCTGTATTTAAATATGACTGATTTCTGGTGTGGAAAACATTACTTTACACACTTGTGGGGAAGGCACAAACCGAAGGGGTAATGCCATCATTTCTAGTCCTTGGATGGCTTGCATGTTAATCTCTTACAAATCAGTCAGAGCCTCCTCCTGCCACCCACTCTCAGCCCACCTGCACTTTTCCTCCCCGTGGGAAGCATGAGGTCATTACCAGGAGGTGTCAGTGCCTTCCCAAGGCCGGTGAGGGGAAGCTTGTTTCCCACCCCTGCACCTCAGGCCCGGGTTCCAAAAGGAGAAAACACAGCGGCATGCAAGGGAATAAAGAGAGAACAACGGCAGAACACAAACTTTATGAAAAATATATTTTTTCTCCCTGCAAAATAAGAGGCAATTGTAGAAAAAAAAATACATTCCCTGAAATCAGGCGCAGAACAGAAAATAAACAGCACCTTGTTATGCAGGTTTAAGAGTTCTTACCTGTGCCTGGAGTGGTTATAGTCCACAGAAATCAAGATGGGGAGAGAAGCAAAGAGAAGTAAAATGTCAATATATTGAATGTGAAAAACTCATGTTTCAAGTTTCAAATATTATTATCCCTATGGAAAAGACAATTTTGGGGGGGCGAGTAAATAATTAGAACACCTTTTTTAGGCCTTGGGAGAGAAAAACCAACTCACTGTTTAAAGTTAAGGTACACATTGCCGGCACCGGTTTGGCTCAGTGGATAGAGCGTCGGCCTGCGGACTGAAAGGTCCCGGGTTCGATTCCGGTCAAGGGCATGTACCTTGGTTGCGGGCACATCCCCCATGGGGGTGTGCAAGAGGCAGCTGGTCGATGATTCTCTCTCATCGACGTTTCTAACTCTCTATCCCTCTTCTTCTCTGAAAAATCAATAAAATATATTAAAAAATAATAATAAAGTTAAGGTACACTAATAACTACTGCAAGCAGCAGAATCAGGGAAAGTATTAGGTGGGCAGGATGCAGACATCTTAGACAATGGAGTAGACCTCAAAATACTCATAGGGAACTGACACAGAGCTGCAAGTGTCTTGTGCTTCAAACTGTGAATGGCTATCTATTTATAGATCAATTGATTGATTGATTGATAAATTTACCCATCTTCATCCATCCACCCATATTTCATAAGAAATGAGGATTTGCTTCCTCAATGGAAAAATCAAACCTCAAACACCATTTTCAAGTCAAAGTACCACCAATTATATTGAGGAATGTATAACTGTAAAAAGTCTATGTGACTTGAACATTTTTCAACATTAACACAAACCTCTGCATGTTCTTTGCTCTTCTAATGGCGTTACTAATATATAAACTCTTAAAAGTTTATTTTTTAAACAAATTGTTTCTTGTTTTAGCTTTGATATTTTAGTTGTTGGGCTCAGTATAAGACCAGTAAGCTGTTAACAAGTACCCAGATGTCCTTTTCAAACTCTGCAGGAGGCTACATTAAAGTTGGAGAGTTTAGAGGAAAGCCTTTTCATTGCAAAGACCATTTGGCATAAGATCTTGAATCTGCAAATGTACCATCAAAGGAAATTTCTCTTTATTAGAACCCTGGATCAAAATGTAATAAAATTTACATTTACTGTTGGAAATTCAAGATTTCAAAACTTACAGGAAAGTATTGTTTTGTTTACAAACACTACAGTTGAGTTATTTTGCTTCACTTGGTCAAGGAGTTCCATCTTTTTCTTTGGAAACATTCCTGAGCACAGGGACACTCGGTCACCAATAGATGGCAGCAGGGTAGTATGTTACTTACTTTTGGTTTCATTTAAGGGCAAATGTAGCTACTTGGGGGAAAAAATCCAGATTCTTTCAGAGAACTTTCTATAGAATTTAATTCTACACTTTCTTAATCCTAGTCCCTTTATCCATAAATTCTTTTTACTCTCTCTACAGTGTACTTTTATTGCTAAGAACAAATTTAGGGTAATTTGGAAAGGAAAGTTTGGGTCCTGGTAGGCAGTGTGTTTGGAGATTAAAATTAGTTTATCTATATATGAAATATATCTATACATTTAAGGTTGGTTCATACATATGACTTGGTTCATTTGATTGTGACTTGGATTTAAATACACTTCTTAACATCTTCATAGACTATATCAAATTTGTACTTTGTTAACTCACATGCAGGCCAAACACGATAATAATTGTCTGATGTATCTTATGTTACATTTAAATTAGTTTCAATATCCTCTATTAGCCTTTTACTTTATATTTCCAACAGAATACAACTATTAATAGCAACTAATAAGGAGCATCTGAAGTCAAATAAAGTCCAAAATAAGATATAAAAGGCCAAGGATTAAATTGATAGATATACTTACAGTGATTTTGAGGCCATTTAAAATTAAAAAAAAAATTATATCAACTAATTTCAAATGAATGAACAGTATATATTTCCTAATTTTAGATCTCAACTTAAATACTTTCTTTGATTTTAATTTAAGAGGTTGGTAATTGAGATGTCTTCTTCGAGAGTCTCGGGGTACTCTAAGAATGAGACAATCTTGCTCTTAATAACACACAAGTTAGATATAATCTTATTACAGGTTAAATATCTTGACATTATTTCAAAGGGAATTTTCATTTACTTTCCATTGCTTCATATTCATATGCATACAATATGCAGGGTACTAGGTCTGTTGAGAATACAGAGATGACATATCTGATTTGGGTTTTTAACAATATACATGTATTGATCCAGGCTACTCTAAAAATAAAATGAGCCAAGTTTCTAATTCAGGGGCTATTATTTACTTTGGTCCATTTGGGGTGTGTGTGTGTGTGTGTGTGTGTGTGTGTGTGTCGGGGGGGGGGGGTGTGGAATACATCATTACCAATCTAAATCACAATGCTTTAGTATTGCCAACAGCAGAAAATACCTGGTTGACATGGTCCAGTTTGGGGCAAGGCCTTCCTCCATTATACGGCTTTTCTCGCAGCCATTTAGACCGAACCTTCACGCCGCTCCCACAGGACTTACTGCAGCGGGACCAGTTGGACCACTCGCTGAGCTTGCAGTCGGAGGGGCAGGGGATGATGCAGGCCTCTTCGATGTAACCTGAGTGCAGGAAATGAGAGGAGAGCCATCTCCCTCGTGCCACTCGCCCACCACCACCCAGATGCTCATTTAGAAGATCCAAGTTTGACTTGACAGCAACATGCTAATGCAGAGTCTCCATCGTTAAGGATTCAAATTGAATGGTGCAGGAAAATGACATATCCATGCAGCGACTCTGTTAAAATAACAGCTGAGCAGCTGCCATATGATCTGCTCAGGACTCACGCTCACCACATTTCAGCACTCCTGACAGCTCCTGTTTAATTGACAATAACCTGTCTGCTGCCATATCATCCACACTCTGCCAGAACGATTCATTAAAAAAAAAAAATTACAACAGTTTTCCACAGGATCCTGTCCGCTCATGTCACACAAGTTCAAGTTTCTGGGCCCAAGTAATGTTCTTGCTCAAGAAGAAAGCCGGGCCCCTTCAATCACTATCCAAAAGGAACCATTTAACTTAGCACCTATGTTTCCCCTTCTTTGGAAATGAGGCCAGAAGAAGAAAAATGAAGACCGTTAAAGTCTCCTAGTTTTATAGTGCTGCCAACTTCAAAGCACCTTCACACTTTGTATTCATTTGATTTGCTTGAAAATCTTATAAACACATTGGGTGGGAATGGATAGTCTACTGGGCAGATGAGAAAGCAAATGCAGAGAGATAATTGCCAAATGCAAGGTCGTTCAGTGAGATGTGAGGAAAGGTTTTCTGAGGTCTAGTCCAGTGTTCACTCCATCAAATCACACAGCCAAGTCACTCAATGGCCTACCGATTAGTTTTGAGGAATGGGAGCATTTTCCTTGAACAATCCCTTTACTACCAACTTGGCATCTCACTAGATCAATTTAGCACTATTATTCCCAAGGCAAATGTGTAAGAAAAGCAAAATTCCTCTGGTCGAGAGTCAAATACTATGTGCAGAGTAGTTCTTGATTCAAGAAAACACTGTCATACCACTTTACATCAAATGAAGGATTAGATTTAGAAATGATTATCACATAAACCATTTGTACTAGGATCTATAAGTAGATATTTTAAAAATATCTTTTTATTACTTTCTTGAGCAAGAGGAAGGGAAAGGGAGAGATAGAAACATCTATGAGAGAGAAACATTGACTGGCTACCTCCTGCATGCCCCCTTCTGGAGATCGAGCCCACAACCTGGCCATGTGCCCTGAGCAGGAATTGGAACCAGTGACCTCTTGGTTCATAGGTCAATGCTCAACCACTGAGCCACACCAGCTGGACTGTGACTTTTCTTAAGGTGCTTAGGTAATAGTTTTATTTCAAAATCAGTCTAATTATCCTAGAATAATAAACTATTCATCTTAATATTGTTTTGATTTTTTAAATAAATCTAGTTATTTCCAATGTTCATTGTTTTATCAATTCTTTTTTGAAAAACATAAAAATCTTCAAATATGTGGAGTGATCTACTTAAATGTTATACTTTGACTTTAAATATGGCTTGAGGTGGAAACAAAGCTCCCCTTACTATTTTGAGTTGAAATACATTTTAAATCCCATTACAGCACAGCCAGTAAACAAATTTATCTAAAACAGCATGAGATGCTTAGATACATAATTCCTGATAGGGCCAATAATTTTTTAAAATATAATAGCTTTTTTTATTGCATAGTAATAGTTTAAGAAATAAAATAAAAATGTCTAATTTCCAAATGAATACCATTCTATCATCAAACTATTAAACTATGCAAGTCCAATAATTTTTAAAATCCCAATTATTTCCAGATATCAATAGCTTTGACAAAAGGACACTAGTATTTCAAAGGTAACGTTATTGAAATATTTCTAGAAGAATTGCATTTTCCACCTTGTTAAATTTCAAAATGACTGTAAAAGTAAACCTTTAACCTTTTGTTATTTAGTAACTGTAGTGTAAAATAGAAACACATAATCTTTAATGTCACTGCTTCACAGAGTAACAGATAAATGGAAATTCTTTTCTTCCATTGTCAGGTGAAGTATTATGCCATAATGATATTTAACATGGATGACCTCAGACTGATTCACATTTGTCATCAAGTAGTAACACTTAACACTTCTATGTATGATCTTCCAATAGCATATTCCAGAAATGTCTCTCAAATAAAACTCAAGGTATTAAATTGTTAAAGGATATGTGTAGACCCTGAGACAAAACTGCGACAGAATATAATGCTTAGCTTGCCATTTTTATTTTCAGATGTGTAACAACTTCCAATAATTGCCCGTCATGTTCACCTAGCACAATTAAAATCCTTAATGCTAGAAGTGAACTGCCAGGTAATCATTGCCCTCCCTTCTTCACTAAGATCATTTTTCAAGGCAATTAACACCCAACAGTCACCGGGTATAGAAAGACAGAAACATTTGATGTGTTTTAAGGCTAAATAAACTGCTGGTATCTTGTAGCAATTTATGGCGTCTGAGGAATACTGGAATAAAATAAATGACTTCACAATTAGGGTGTAAAACTTTTAGCAGTTCAACACTGAATTTGACACATGAAAAAAATCAAACTCCTGACTTCTGGTCATATTTTTTTGTATTCTATGACTGTTCTTTGAGGTCGAAATGGATGCAAAACACTAGCAGCCTTAAAGGGGCGACCAGAGGACATACTGCCTTTTAGATACATCACCTCATTCATTTGAACTGTGAATTGCAGATAAAGTAGCTGTCAACAACCTTCACAACTATTAACATTGTGCTGTTGAAAGGTACACTGTTGATAGAGTAAAGAAATCATTTTGAAAACACATGAAAAAAATATTGTCTGGTTCTGACTTACAGCTGTGTGAATAAGCAACACTGGCACTGTATGTGAAACATCTGGATTAATCCCCAAAGTAACCTCAAAAAAATCTCTCCTACTTAAATGTGTATTGTATACATATGATTACAATCAAGAATGAGAGCATTTATCTACGAATTTATCTATTGTTGTCTGTGTGGGTTTAAAGTATTTAAAAAATATTCCCAAATGAACATGATATTCTTTTGTAATTATATATTAAAGGCTGATAACTAGATAACTCAGGGAAACCAAACAACTATGTGTATAACCAAACTTTTTTTTTTTTAAATATATTTTATTGATTTTTTTTTGCCCCCCTCCCTCCCTCCCTCCCATGCCCTCCCTCCCCAGAGTTTTATGTCCATTGGTTGTACTTATATGCATGTATACAAGTCCTTTGGTGTATAACAAAACTTTTGTAATTGAATGTTGGAATCAACACTGGGCAATTAAAATTTTCATAGAGTAGTGTTCTGATAAATTGATATTACTGCAGTGCAATGCTATTTTAATTTAATTTATATTTATTTGTTTTATATACATATGAAGGCATATCTCTCCATTCCGCTAAGTACTTAAAAGATTCAGGAAATTTCAACATCAGTGTTAAAGGCTGTGGGGTTTTGTTGATATTATTCCAATACTGGAAGCTTATCCAATGATATGGCACATTCAGATTCATAGATACATCTCTGTATAAGTTCATTATCAATGCCATTTCTTATAGCAAACTGTAAAGCTTTCTGATGTATAATAAAGAATTAGGTTGATCTTTGGCCCTGGTTACTGGGAAGTAGACTCCAAGCCCTGAAATTTCTTGAGTGGTAAGAGTATCATTGCTATTCATGGGGGCCCCCTTGTATAACACGAGTTTATGCTAAAAAGATGTTGGTGGGAGGGAGCCTGGTTGAATTTAAAGACAAAGCAGGTGTTTAGAGTGTTGGAGCTTTAAGATGCATGATATCTGACCAACCTCTGGGGTGGGAAGATTGAGTTCAACCAACCATGTGATCAATGATTCCTTCCATCATGTCTACGTGACGAAACCCCAATAACAACGACACCAAAGCTCAGGTTAGTTTTCTGGTTGATTATAAACATTGATGTGCAGGGAGGGTGATGCCTCCTGGTGCCATGGAAAAGAACATGGAAGCCTTGTTTCGGGGACCTCACAAGACCTTGCCTTTGTGTCTTATTTTGGATGGTTATGATTGTGTCCTTTTGCTATAGTAAAACTGTATATGTAAGTATGGTTCTTTCCTGAGTTCTCTAGGTCATTCTAGTAAACTAATGGACCTGATGGGGTGGTGAGAACCCCCCAATCTGTGGCCAGCTTTTCAATAATAAAGTTAATCTGTGGTTCACTGAAGTTGTAGCTGATGTCTGAAGTGAGAACAGTCAAGTAGAGACCTGAGCCTGTGATGGTCCGCCTAACTCTAGATAGGTAATGCTGGAATTGCATTCAACTTTCTCTCCTTCAAAGCATCGTCACAATGGGCATGTAGCAGAACTCTATTTTAAAAGGACGTAAGTACTTTTATTTCTGTAAGAACTGTATTTATAGTTTACTCATTCAACCAAAATAAAAATCTGGGGGATGCATTAAGGCATTTACTGACTTTCTCCCCATATTTAACATTTAAAATTCTAACCAATAATGTATTAAACATCAGAGATAAGTTCTACAAAACTCACTTTGGGAATAGGATTTTGTAAGCAATATAAATGTATTTTATTGAGTGTTCAGATTATGAAGATGAAGTAATGGAAAATAAATGAACATTGAAACTAATTAAAGCAACTTATTTTTAACTTCACCTAATATTAACAAAGCTCTGTTCTTTCAAATCAATGAAAATCATATATTGTCATGGAAGCATTTCTAAAGGATGATCTTTTAACCAGTTCTGGTGGATTATAATAAGTATTAAACATAAATTTTACAAAAAGCATTCTGTGGTCAAGTGAGTTAGAAAATTAATGCATTAAACTGGTTAACCAAAGCTCTTTTCCCTGGGCTTTCCTTTTTGGCTAATGTGAATCTCTAAGAAGATAACTTAGACACTGAATTCCTGTGGTTCATGACTTTTTCCTATAGCATCTCACCGAACAAGTGAGAAATAGATCATTCATAGTTGGTAATTATAATGCATTAAAATTGGATTCATGTTTTGAGTTGGACAGAGTTTTAATATTTTT